TCCAAAGTGAATAGTACAGGGGTTACTGAAATGATCCAGGGGAGTAGTAAGTATGTACTGAGTGATTTTCCCCCCATGAAAAGGGGGCAGTAAGCCAGATAAGTTTGGGAATCCCTGCTTTGTTTATATATTGCCTCTTTTTTAAAAGTTTTTTTTTTTTTTTAATGAATCACAGAGAGGCACACAGTTACAAGGGTTGTTTATGATTGGGTATCAGTTGCATAATGTTCCAGCACTTACCCCTTCACCAGTGTGCATTTCCCACCACCAAGGTCACCAGTTTCCCCTCCCGACATTCCCCCTGCTTCTGTAGCAGGCACTTTTCACCTCTCTCTCTTCCTCCCTCTCTGTCCCTCCCTCCCTCTTCCTCCCTCCCCCCCACCTCTCCCCCCCCCCCCCTTTGGACTTAACAGTTTGCAATATAGATATTGAAAAGTATAACTTGCCTCTTTTTGATTTTCTCTTTTCTCCTAATCACTGATTTGTATGTGATACTGCATCTAAGTTGTTTGTTTTATTTTGGTTTGGTTTTTTAGGCTCAGCTGGCAATGCCACAGGGTCTACTCCTGAGTCTTTGACGAGCCAGGAATTAGTCTTGGTGGTCTTGGGGGACCATATAGATGGGCAGGGATTGAATCTGGGTTGAACGCATGCAGGACAAGCTCTTTACCCACATTTTATCACTCCAGCCGGACATCTAGTTTTTCTTTGTGTTTATCCTGCTTGAGGTTCTTTTACTTTCCTGGTGCTTTTTGTTGTTGATTTATTGCTGGGCCTAACTCCGTTTTGCTTGAGAACTCCTCCTGGCTGTGCTTGGTGACTTGGCAGGGGAGGAATTCACTCCTGGCAGTGATAGGAACCGACTGTGTCTTCTGCACGCACTTTATGTGCTGCTGTCTCTTGCTGTCCCTCCGACCTCTCTGGCGCTTTGTAGAATTTTCACTGAATTTGGAAAACATTTTAGGCATTATCATTTCAAATTTGATTTCCCTATTCTCTTTTTCTTTTCTGGATAGGACATTGTATACATTAGACTTGTGATTACATATGTAAGATCACTGTGAGTTTAATTATCTTTCTACTAAGTTTTTTTTTTTGGGGGGGTGGGGTTGTTGTTTGGACATTGGTGCTAGACTTACTCCTGGCTCTGTGCTTAGGGGGACCATGTGCTGTGGTGGGGATTCAGCAGGGGTTGGCTGCGTGTAAGGCAAATGCCTTCTGTACTCTCTGGCCTTGCCCAACTTTTAACAAAAGTATCATTAAAAATTTTTTTTTTTTATTGAATCACTGTGAGACAGACCCTTACAAAGCTGTTCATGGTTGGATTTCAGTCATACAGTATTCAATACCCATCCTGCCACCAGTGTACATTTCCCAGCACCAGTGTCCCCAGGTTACCTCCCATCACATCTCTCCCCACCTCTTGCCTGCCTCTATAGCAGGCACTTTTCTTGTCTCTGTCTCTGTCTCTGTCTCTCTCTCTCTCTTTCTCTCTCTTCTTTCTCTCTCTTTCTCTCTCTTCTTCCCCCCCCCCCATCCTCTTTTGGGTATTGTAACACAAATATCTTAAGGCTTCAATATCCCTTTCTATGTTACTGAAATCCTCTGAATTATTATTTTTTTGGCTTTTTGGGTTGCACTCGGCCATGCTCTGGGGGTACTCCTGGCTCTGGACTCAGGCATTACTCCTGACTGTGCGTGGAGGTATCATACGGGATGCTGGGGATTAAACCCGGGTGGGCCATGTGCAAAAGCAAATGCCCTACCCTTTGTACTATCACTCCGGCTCCTGAAATTCTTTGATTTTTTTTTTTTTTCAGATTTTACTTTTTCCTGTCTAGAATTTTCATTTTTTAAACTTGTGGTATCATGATTTACAATAGTATTAACATTTATGTTCCAGCATGCAATATTTCTGCACCACACAAAAGGGCTGTTATCTCTCCACCACATTTTAAATACTGTTTTCTTTTATAGTGTTTATGCTTTTCTTTAACTTGGGGGTGATATTGGTTTATTTGTAACATTTGCAGGCCATATAATACAGGCAGACTGAGAGCAGCATATGAGAAGAATATTTGTCTGTCTCTTCATGTACCAGGCCCAGACTTATTTTGAGGTCATGAAAAGGATCATGAGTTCATGTGTCTTCTAGGGCTCATGGGCTGGACATTTCCTGATCCTGCTTTATTATTTTTCTTTTGCATATATATTTTTGGTTTAGTATTTGGTTCATACCCAATAGTGCTCAGGGGTTACTCCTGGCTCTGCACTGAGGGATCACTCCTGGAGTGCTCTGGGGACCATTTGGGATGGCGGAGATCAAACCACATGCAAGGCAAATGCTCTACCTGCTGTATACTCTCCAGTCCGCAATTCCTGCTTTTAGTACTCACACATGTGATAATTTAAAACAGTGTTTTTACTAATTCTTTAGTCTTACTTTAGAGTCTTCATAAAGCCTGATATTTGGTCATGGTTTTTTCAAATTTTCTTGTCAAATCTAGTAATTGATTACATGCTAAATGTTGTATTATATGTTAGTCAATTTTTATTTTTGGTTTTGGTTTTTGGGCCATATTGGCAATACTCGGGTTCCTCCTGGCTCTGCACTCAGGAATTACTCCTGGATGTGTTTGGGGGGACCATATGAGATGCAGGGGATCAAACCTGGGTTGGCCGTGTGCAAGGCAAATGCCCTTCCCTGTGTTCTGCCCCAATTTTTATTTTATTTAAATTTTCCTTTCATGAGATTTGGTAAGTAGATAATATACAATTAGTTAGAAACTTTAAGTTTGGGCAGATTTAAGAGTAGTTTTTTACTCTAAGAACCTGGTCCTTCCCGAGTTTCTAATGAATGCCTTTAGTGATCACTGAGGATTTCCTACTCTTAACTGGTGAGGAAGTAAATGAAACCCAGTGTGAACTCTGGGACTCTTCAGCTGTTGGCTCTCTGGACTTTGCCTCACCTGGTAGAGTGTCATAGTCTACATGAACAGCTGAGTATTTGGCAACATGAAGGGGGAACCCCTATACAAATTGTGGCGGCTCCTTTTCAGCACAGCAGCAAGTACTGCTGCTGCTGCTCCTCTTCCTCCTTCTCTTCCTCCTGCTCCTCCTCTTCTTCCTCCTCCTCTACTCCACCTCTTCCTCCTTCCCCTCTTCCCCCTTCCTTCTTTTTCTTCCTTCTCCTCTTCCTCCTCCTCTTCTTCCTTCTTCCTTTTTCTTCCTTCTCTTTCTCCTCCTCCTCCTCCTCTTCTTCCTCCCCCCTTCTCTTCCTCCTTCTACTCCACCTCCACCTCCTCTCCTCCTCCCTCTCCATCTCCTCCCCTTGCCTCCCATCTCATCCTTTCTCTGCAAACTGGTGATGATGCTTATAATCCAGGCAGAGTGCTTGATGGAGTGTGCTGTGTCAGAAATCTAACCCAGAGCCCCACACATGCAAGACAGGTGGTCAGACACAGAATCATATCCCTAGCTCTTCTCTTTTTTGCTCCTTTCTTTCTGTTTTTGGGTCATACCCCGTGATGCTCAGATTATTTGCCGCTCTGTACTCAGGAATTACTTTGGGCGGTATGGGATCCCATACGGGATGCTGAGGGATTGAACACAGGTCGGCTGTGTGCAAGGTGATACCCTACCTTCTACTATCTTCTACTATCACTCCGGACCCTTCTCTTCTTAAAAAATTCTTCTTTTTTCTTTAAAAAAAAAATTCTACCGCACAGTGTTCAGGATCTACTCTGGGGCCTGGGTTTGCTCCCCAGCAGATCTCAAAAACCATATGATGCCAGGAATTGAACCTGGGCCTTCTATATGAGCTCAGACTGTTGAGTTCTTTCACTGGCCCTATTTTCCCCATTTTGAATCCGTTCCAGCATACTCTGTCACCTCAGAATCTCTGAATTGCAGTTTATCTCCTCAGCTAGACTTCTCCTTTGAATTCTGCTCTCTACTCTGTGTTTTTGCAGTGTGCCCATAAACTGGGGCAGTTCTAGGACTCACCTTGTTAATGGCTTTATTACTGGGATCACTGTTCATTTTCTGAAAATATTTTATACATTTGGTTTTTATTTGTTCAGGATGAGTAGGTACTTTTCATTCATTGTTTCTCATGGCCAGATGTGCAAATTTTTTTGTCCTTGCAGTGTCAGCGAGTCAAACACATTTTTTATGAGATAGTGGGTTGCTCATGGCTATTCTGGGGCTCATACTTGGTGATATACACTCACTGCCTGTGAGCAAACTCAGGCAATCATTTACAAGGCAGATATTCTACCACTGAGCCTTGTCCTTGTACACAGATGTGTGAATTTTAGGTCTTGGGGCCACACCTGGCTTAGTTCTGGCTCTGTGTTCAGGAATCATGCTTGGCAGTACTTGGAGAAACATATGCAGTGCCAGGGATCAAACCAGGCTTGCTGGCATGAAACACTCTAAAAAAAATTTTTTTTTAACTTTGCTGATTTGCAGGTTTTGCTTCCTTTTCCTATCAAAGGGATGGCTTCTCTTTGTTTTAGGAATTGTTCTCAACTGATTTCATGGTTCAGCAGTTATTTTAATAGTGATTTATAAAATTTAAACTTACTGCAGGGCTGGAGAGATAGTACGGTGTGTAGGGTGTTTACCCTGCACACAGATGACCCAGGTTCAATCCCTGGCATCCTATATGGTCCCCTGAACACTGCCAGGAATAATTTCTGAGTATAGAGCCAGGAGTAACCCTTGAGCATTGCCGGGAGTGGTCCAACTCCCCACCCTCAAACTTAAACCTGTTGTTTAGTACAGCATTATTTTCTTTCAGGTTTTACATGTTGTCTTTAAGTGTGAAGAAAGGTTCAGACCCTCTCTACCACTTTGTCTTCAATGGTTCATTATATAGCTGAGCAGTGTTATGCTAGTGTCAAGTGTGAATAAATCTTTCATTAGTCTGTGACAATTGATGTTAAAAAGTTTACGCCCAAGTATAATGAGCATTCTCCTATCTTCTGTGTTTCTAGGTATCTGTAACTACCCAGTTTTGCAGCCATGGAGTCTATGCTTAATAAGTTGAAAAGTACTGTTACAAAAGTAACAGCTGATGTCACCAGTGCTGTAATGGGAAATCCTGTCACTAGAGAATTCGATGTTGGTCGACACATTGCCAGTGGTGGCAATGGACTAGCTTGGAAGATTTTTAATGGCACAAAAAAGTCAACAAAGCAGGTAATTCTTGTTGATAAATACCATAATGTACGTGTGTTATTATTGTTATTGTTAAATCTATTGGTCACACACACCAAGCAGTTCTCAGGAATTACCCTTGGCAGTGCTCTAGGATCCATGTGTGGTGGCAGGGATCAGACCAGGTCAGACACATGCCATCATAAGTTTACATATGTCTCAGTGCCTATTCATTTTTGTATTACAAAATGTCAGAAGTAGAATTGTTTTTTTTGTGGGGGGCACACCTGTTGGTGCTAGGACTTACCCATGGCTCTGCACTCAGGGAGCACTCCTCGAGGGGCTTGGGGGTGCATATCCCTAAGGATATGGTACCAGGAATCAAACCTGGGTCAGCCATTTGCCAGGCACCCCCCTACCTGCTATAATGTCACCCTGGCCACAGTAATGGGTTCTTTAGTTCTCATTTTACCAAATGAAACCAGACAAAAAAATATGTGCTCTTTTTCTTTTGTGTGGTGCTGGGGTTTAAACCCAAAACCTCATACATGCAGGGCATGTATTTGTAGTAAGTGTGATTTACATCCTAGTAGCTCACATTTTGAAACATGCCCTGGATCTCCTCCATCATGATCCGGTGTGTAAATTTGTTTTTGCAGTGGTCAGGTTGCATGTTTCATATGCCAGGGATTGCACTTTGCTGTGCTGACATCTCCTGGTTGTAAGCACATTGTTCAATATTTTCATCTTATCTTGTAATTTTCCCCACTTAATAAACAGATGTGTTAGTTGACCAAAAGGATATATAGCAGGGTGCCTGTGCATGTTCTAGAATTAAAATGGTCTTGTTTCTTAAATTTGCATTTCATATTTGTCTGGTTGTTGGCAAAATACCCAGTTAAATTTTTCTAAAATTAAATGTATCTTAGTCCTTTCTTATTCTTTCATAGTCTGTTAAAAATAGATTTCTAGGGATCAGAGCCATAGTACAGTGGGTAGTACGTTTGCTTTGCACATGGCTGACTTGGTTTTGATTCCCGGCATCCTATATGATCCCCTGAGCCTGCGAGGATTAATTCCTGTGTGCAAAGCCAGGAGTAACAACTGGGCATCCCTGGATGTGAGCCCCAGAATTAAAAAAATTTCTAAAATAATCTTTGTGTTTACCTGATAGTTTTCCTTATTATTTAATAGGGTTTTGTTTGTTATTTAAACCATCAGTGATTGTTTTGGGGTATATTGATTTTAAAGATTTTGTTTTTGGGCCATACCTGACTATGGTGCTGAGGTGCTACTTTCTGTCTGAGCTTGGGGCCCCAGTATGCAGTTCTGGATCTTGAACCTGAATCTTTGGCAAATCAGTGGCAGTGGCCTAGCCCTTTGAGGATGTTCAAATATAAATATTTCTTAAATGTTCTTTTAGTGAGGAGTAATTTGAATGAATTAAAATAAAAAAAAAACTTCTCTTGAGAGTCCAACAGACTTTCTTAGAAATGTATGCAAGGGGAACTGGAGCAACATCTGATGGTACTTGGGTACTCTTGGATCTGTGCTCAGGAGTGGCCCCTAGAAGGTACTTAAGGGACAGATTTGGTGCTGGGGGTTTGACCAGAGTCAGCTGCATGCAAGGTAAGCATCCTAAGCTCTCTGCTGTCACTGTGGTCCCAGCGTGGAGGATTGTTGTATCATCTTTTATTAATATCTTTGTGTTCTAATTATTGAATTGAAAGCTCTTTAGATTTAAAACCTCTGTGCTCTTCAAAAAGAAAAATAGTTTCTGAAAGTACTCCGATTTTCCTGTAAGTGTAGCCTGTAACATAAGACTTATATTGTCTGCTAATACATTTTCCAGTGACCGTCACAACCATGTACTGTCATATAACGCATATGAACTTGTGTTATTTTGAATTATTTCCCAGACCAGCATATTAAAGACTGAATTGATTTTGGTTACCTTTATTTAGTGCAGTAGGGATCTGGGTCCTGCGATAGATTCGCTGACTTGTAGTTTGTAGCATGCCAACTGATCAGTAAAGTTGGTTTTCACTAACATTTGGTTAGAAGATTTTTAGGTCCAGGGTTGATCTATATCTTAAATACTGATTTAGGTTGCCATTTTTGTACATTGTTTTTTTTTCGCTGTCAGTTAACCAAGAGCTCATCAAAAAGTATGTACTTTGGGTGCAGGCCCTCAGACCCCCAAGCACTACCAGTTATAGTCCTGGAGGCCCCCTCCCCGGGTATCCGAGGCGCTGCAGGGCTGGAGCAACATTGTCTCTTTCGGTGCCTGCACTGAGCTGATGGCGAATTTGGCAGCCAGCTAGAGAATTGCCAGGGAAACCCCCTCAGCCTCTGGACACTTGGACACTGCTTGGGGACCCCTCTCCCCCATTCTCAAAGTAGTTTTTGTGCATTGATTTCTTTATTAACACAGTCATAAAGATACATACATGACTGATTTCTTTTTTGGGTAATACCTGGCAATGCACAGTGGTTACTCCTGGCTCTGCACTCAGGAGTTACTTCTGGCGGTGCTCAGGGAACCATATGGGATGCTGGGAATCGAACCTGGGTCGGCCGCGTGCAAGGCAAACGCCCTACCCGCTGTGCTATTACTGCAGCCCCTCCTTTTTAATTGAATCACTATGAGATGCACAGTTACAAAGTTGTGATTGATTTCTAATACCAAATTGCTTATGTAATAGTCATATCAGTAGAAAATGAAAAAAAAAATACCGCATGAACTAAACTTTGTATTTTTTATTGAGAACTTATGGTATACATATATTTTAATTAACCAAATAAATTTGAGGGGTTAGTGTTTATGTCAGGAGGTCAGTCATTTGCTGATAACATCTGAAGTCATTGGCATTTCCATTGGTACTTGCTTGTAGAACATAAGAAACCTTCACAGACACTAGAACCCCATTCTCAAGAGCTGACTGCCCGAAGTTGGTTCTCTTAGGAAGCTTTTCTACTTTTCTTCTTTCTTGAAAGTTAATGCATTGAGGAAAAGGATGGTTTTGTAATATGTCAGAATATGTCAGTGTTCCCTGTTGAAAAGATAGTTTTGTAATATGTCAGTGTGCCCTTGACACACTGGTTTTCTTCTTTTGTCTCTTTTAAACCTCAGGGTTCAGAATTGAGTATCCTGTCCATACTAGTGACTAGTTCCTTAAGAAATAGTTAATTTTCCATCATGGCATTGAAACTTCATTTTAATTTCTTAGTACTTTCATCATGTATATTGCTATAATTTCATTTATAACTAAGAAGTTTCCATACTTTTTCAAAGTTGCCTCGATTTATTTTTGATCACACCCAGCAATGCACAAGGTTTACTCCTGGCTTTGCACTCAGGAATTACTCCTTGTGTTGCTTGGGGACCATATGGAATGTGGGGGATTGAACCCTGACCGGCCCTGTGCAAGGCTAATACCCTACCTGCTGTACGATCACTCTGGCCCCAGTTGCCTCAATTTTTGAATCACAGGAAATAATTTAAAGCTGTGTTAACTAGTATTGTAGCTGAAAGTCATGCTAGCTATTTAAATTATTTTAAATGAGATTAAATCCATTTTTTTTACTTATATTAATGTGCTTAAGTACTCCATAGTTACATGTGGCTAGTATTGTACAATTATTTACAGTGCAGATTTTACCAGGAGTTTGATTGTACAGCACTGCTCTGGGACAAATTAGGAGAAAGTTAATGAAAAAGGATACTGTTCCAAACACTGCTTCATTGAAAGGGAATAAAGAAAATGTTTGAGCTAGTTGATAGCCCATTCTCACTTATGTAGTAATCTTTCATCTTTAACCTAAAACAGTAAATGAATATCTGAGTTTTGTGTTATTTATTAGTTGATTAGTGGGAACTTTATTTTTGAACTTTATCACTCAGAGGGGTGGAGTGATAGCATAGTGGGTAGGGTGTCTGCCTTGCATGTGGCCAACCCGCGTTCGATTCCTCCATCCCTCTCAGAGAGCTCAGCAAGCTACCTACCAAGAGTATCCCGCCCGCACGGCAGAGCCTGGCAAGCTTCCATGGCATATTTAATATGCCAAAAACAGTAACAAGAAGTCTCACAATGGAGACTTTACTGGTGCCCGCTCAAGCAAATCGATGAGATGAACAATGGGAGGACAGTGCTATAACTAATAATGTTCCTCTTTAAAAATGGTGAAAGTGCTCAAGGACCATTTCATGTGAGCTTTTTTAAAAGACCTAAAACATCTTGAAGAAATAAACACTTTTAAATTAGAAGCATTTATAAAATGTGTTATAGCAGACACTTACCAAAATAAGATTATGCACATGGATGGTGAGGTAGGAACTTGAACTTCTAGGTCATTTGTTTTTAGATCATATTAATATTACAGTGCTCTTATTCCTTTTGTCCTGAGTCTCAGAATGATCAAATAAATTGATTATGTTTATAAGTGCATGCTACTTCAAGCTTCCACTTAATTTAAATGATTCTTTTGCTGAAGACATAATTGCCGTTTTACTAGTACGTTCTATATTTTTTTGGCCCTGGGTTATTTTTTTATAGAAAATCTGATATATTTGCTAATAATGTAGCTTCCTAGTATTTGACTGGGTTAGTTAGAATATTGACTCTTTGAACAATAGTGAATTTCAAATTCTACATTTCTCTAGTCTCTGTCTTCTTCTGAAAGGTAAGGAGAAAATTTGCCTCTTAGAAATTTGACAGATGCTAAAATGTACACAAATTCAAACTGAATTTCTAAATAGAACCTTTATGCTATAATTCTTCAGAGAATCTGCCCTCTGAAGACCTTATTGACATCTTAAAATAAATTGTACTTGAGAAATTTACTGGTTTGGGTTTCAAAGTGGTGCTGGTCATTAGGTTGCCTGTGCTCACTTGAGAAAGTGATAATTAATGAAACAGAAGTAATTAGGAGATAAGAGCAATAAAATGTAAGATACTGTTTTCAATATTGATGGTTAACTGGATGAAAGTTTAATTAGAAGATTTTGAAAGAACCTTTTTTTTCGAAATCCCGAAAGTTGCCCAAAATCTTTAGTAGAATTTTGTAAGGTTGTGTTGATTTCTTTGCTAATTTTGCTTCTAGCTCTATCAATTTTCTTTGCAGTAGGACAGAAAAGTAGCATCACTGTTAATAGCTTAGTGGTGACACATTAGTTTAAGATGGGGTAAGTGAAAGAGAACTTTCTTGGATAAAAAGAACAAAAGGAAGAGAATAGTTGAGTCTGTGCTTTTTAATAGTTTGGAATAAGTTATGAGTGATATTAGGGAGATGTAGGAGGAATAGCTTCCTATTATGATGGTAACTGTTCTCAGTTTGAGGCTTATAATGAGAGAGCTAGGGTGGAGGGAGAGTATAAGTTATCTATATATAAAAGATACTGTTGCAACCTAGGATTTTATATAAACAATCACTCCCTGCCATAAATCACGTTTCTTTCAAAAATTTCTGAGTCCAGAATTATCACCATGAATAATAAAATTTTAAATAAATTTTAAAACAATAAAATTTTAAAATTTTCAACACTTTTTTTTTTTTTTTTTGCTTTTTGGGTCACACCCAGCAATGCTCAGGGGTTACTCCTGCCTTTGCACTCAGGAATCACTCTTGGCGGTGCTCAGAGGACCGAATGGGATGCTGGGAATCGAACCCGGGTCGGCTGCATTAAGGCAAATGCCCTACCCACTGTACTATTGCTCCAGCCCCAATTTTCAACACTTTTATTTGAAATCTGGTTAATTAAGTGATTTCTCCATGGGGACAGTACATCTCATGCAAGCTGCTTGTGTTTCCCTGATACCAGACTTCAAAGATGGAGATTTTTCTGTTTATCTTTTAGGGAAGTGCTTTGGTTCTCATGCTTTAAAAAAGATTTAGATTTGCTAATCATGATCGAACTTAATTTTTTAATACCAGGAAAATATTAATAGTGCCAAGTGAGTGCGACTGTGTGTGTTTGGCCACACCCAGCTATGCTCAGGGCTTATTCCTGACCCTGTGCTTAGGGACCAGTTCTGGGGACTCTGGGAACCATATATGGTGCCAGGGATTGAGTCCTGGTTCGCTGCATGCAGGGCAAGTACCCTACCTGCTTTATTATCTCTCCAGCCCCAGTAATGTTAAAATTTTTATGGAATTAAATTTTTAGCTCTGTTTCTTGGTTATGAGAAGTATGATTTTACAGATTTTTAATATTCTTGATTAACATATTTGAATAATTATTTTTTAGGAAGTGGCTGTTTTTGTCTTTGATAAAAAGCTCATAGATAAATATCAAAAATTTGAAAAGGATCAGATCATCGATTCTCTAAAACGAGGAGTCCAACAGCTAACTCGTCTACGACATCCTCGACTTCTTACTGTCCAGCATCCCTTAGAAGAATCCAGGTAAAAGTTTTTTGTTTGTTTGACCTTTGGGCCATATCTGTTGTTCTCAGGAATTATTCCTGGCTCTGTGCTCACAGTACTACATGTGGTACCAGGGAGCGATCCTGGGTTGGCCGCATGCAAGACAAGCACCTTAACCTTTGTACTATCTTTCTTGGCTCCAAGTTTTAGAAAAGCTTATATAAGAGACTCGCTGAACAAATAGTTAAAATAGGCTTTATATTTGAAACCTCTTGTGAAAAATTCTCACAAACTGTTGAATGAGGTAATTATTTTCTTACATTATATTTGCAGATTATATGTTTTTCTCTTGAAATAATAATATGAAAAACGATTCATATTGCCATGTGTCTTTGTTTGCTTACTCAGTGCTTAGCACTACACTAGTCAGATGGAAGATGCAAGGAAAATAGAGACTAGAGCCCTGACTACAAGCAACTGTGCTAGAATTTCTTTGTTCCTTTTCGCTGATTTACTGTGTGGGACTGTTTTCAACCAGTTACTGCATAGACAGATAAGCTTTTATATGTCAGTTCATAGTTCTCAGTTACCCTCCCATTTTCTCAAAAGTAAGCTTGGGAAAGCTTTCTTACCTAGAGGATAAGAAAATGAAAGTGACTTTGTACAGTCCTTAACTGGACCCTCTTCCCTAGGGTGCTTTCAGTATTTTTTTCCCCATTTCTTACACCTGTTATTTACTCAACTCTTCCTCTCTGTTTAACAGACTGTTTCCCTTTCCTAATTCAGAAGATCTTCCTCTTTTGATGGTTTGCCAGTAGTGTTAGGAACCCTGGATTTTAAGAATGGGGGTCGGGGGAGATAGGCAGGCAGAGGGCCCAGAACCGACAGGGTTCCAACCTCATCTCCTTTTGACAAGGAGGACTGTTTCACTTTATTACATATATTGGACTTAGGATTCTTACTTTGGAATCTTTGATGGCCCACTGTCACTTACTGTATACTCCAAGGGCACTTTCCTTCAATTTGAAAGAAAAAAAGCTAATATTACTATGTAAGAAAACTACTAAATGTGTTATATTTGTTTAGCTCATAATTCTCACTGTTACATAGAAAAACTAAAGATTGGAGACATTATTTAGGCCATGTAGTTTGTGGGTAGAGGGCGATTTCATTCTGTCACTCTGACACTTAAGTCAGTGTTTTTTTGATTTTTTTTTCACTTTCATATTGTGCCAACCCAGAAACAAGCTCTCATATTTTTTTTTTAGTATTTTGTGTTTATTTTTATTTCTTTTTTTTTAAATTAATTAATTTATTTATCATTTTTTTTTATTAGTGAAACACCATGAGGTACAGTTATAGACTTATAAATTTTTGTGCTTGGGTTTCAGTTATACAATGATCAAGTACCCATCCCTCCACCAGTGCCCATCCTCCCCCACCACGGGTCCCAGCATCCCTCCTGCTCCCCATCCCCCCCGTCCCACCATGCTGCTGTGGCAGGGCATTCCCCCTTGTTCTCTCTCTCTTCTTTTGGGTACTGTGTTCTGCAAGAGAGGCATTGAGTGGCAATCATGTTCGGTCTATAGACTACTTTCAGCATGTCTCTCCCACCCTGGGAGGGTCTTCACAACACCCTTTATTTAGTGCTCTCTTCTCTATCTGAGCTTCCTTTTCACCTAGCACATGTGGCTGGCCTTCAAGTCATGGAGCAAAATTCCTGGTACTAATCTCAGCCATTCCTGGGTGTTAGTCTCCCGTTTTGTTGACAAGCTCTCATATTTTATTAAAATATTTTTACTTCCCTTTGCAGAAAAGGCCGATGGTCTCCTATATAATGCTCAACTATTGTAGTCCTCTGTTCAAAGTAGACTTAATTCGGCTGCCATGCTTTTTTTTTTTTTTTTAGCTTTCCTATAGGTTTGCGCTATTTCTTCTGGAGTGTTTTCTATTAGTGTCCGTAGTGTCACCTATAGATGTCAAAAACTTGCCATCCTTGTTATTTCTAGCAACATGTCATATTCCATAATTGCCTATTTATTCTCTTTAGGTGAGAAGATCCAATATGTTACTCTTTTCTCCATCCTTGAATTTTCTTTTATGATGATTATAGAATTGGCCATTTATTAGCAATCATGACAAAAAAAGATCAAGACATTTTGACTCTTAGATGATAAAAATTGAAGTAGCGATAGGAACATGCTAAGGTGAAAAAAAAATACAGCTTTTAGCAAATTAATAAGACAGACACCAAAATCATCCAGTGTTAGAAATAGTGCATAGAAAGAGTCATTCACATGAAAGCCCAAAGATGATGATACATACCATAGAGGGTGAGTATAATGGAGGCAGTAATTATAATCAAAAAAGTAAAAAGAACATGAATAAAAAGTACAGAATACTGAAGGAAAAACTTGAAACCTAAAGGACAAAGTCCTTACATGGTGGGAGAAAATTGGCAGCATGTTGTGCAAGTCAGAGGGAAGATCCCCAGTAATAGTGGGGAAAACCAAATAAAAAGAAGATAAGAGGATGAATGCATTACATTTGATTAGTGTAAGGAGAGTGATGTTCAAAGGCTAGTAGTTCAGAAGCTGGAAGATGGCTACAGAGGAGTCCAGCACAGAGGTTGCCATGTGAATAGTCTCACAGGAGAGTAGAGATTTTAGCAGGATAGTTTGGAAATTAGTAACTTACTGAGGTGCTGTTTAAGGCAAATGAGGACATTCATATTAGATGAGCTTTGGTTTTTGAAATAGAAAGTGGGCAATAGACAGTTGACTCTAGAGGCATCTTCAATGATTGAATGCCAGTGGCCAAGAAAAAGAAGCAAAAATAAATGGGATTATATCAAATAAAGAAGCTTCTGCACTGCAAAAGAAATGCTGACGAAAATAAAAAAGACATCTTACAGATTGGGAGAAAATATTTACACATCACACAGCTGACACATCACTAATATCCAAGATAAAGTACTTGGAAAACTTCAGCAACAAAACCAAAAAAAAAAAAAAAAACCTCATCAAAAAATGGTGACGAGTTGAACAGACATTTCCTAAAAAAGAAGACATACAGATGGCCAATAGGCATTTGAAAACTTCCCTTGATCTCTTATTAGGAAAATGCATATCAATTCTACAGTGAGATATCAACCCACTGTGATGTTGGCACACATCAGAAAGAGTAGAAACAACCAGTGATCATGGAGATGTGGGGAAATTTGATTGGATTCTGCTCGTCTCTTATCCACTGTTGCTGGGAGGGTTATATGGCTCACTCTGTGTGGAAAACAGATGGAGACTCTCAGAAAAATTAAGAATTGAACTTCCATTTGACCCAGCAATTCTATTTCTTGGTATCTATCCTAAGAGCCCCAGAACACTTCACACTCCTCTGTTCATTATAGCACTATAGCCAAGATCTGCAAACAACTCAAATGCCAGAGAACAGATGAATGAAGAAACTGGTACATCTGCACACTGAAATACTCCTCAGCTATAAGAAAAGATGAAACACTGTTCAGTAAGATGTAGATGGAACTCAAGGGTATCATGCAGAGTGAAGTCATTAGGATGAGACTAAGGACAGGATTTTTCCTCTCATATGTGGGACATACAGAAACATAGTAAGGGAATGAACAAATGGTGACTGACAGCAGACCCTGAGAGTTGGTATGCAGAGATAGTAGGGAATGAGGGGATGGGTAGGAGGGGACCGTGGGCATTGGTGGAGGAAAACTGATTTTTTTTGGTGATGGTTGGGTGTGGTGTTGGAATGTTGTATGCGTGAAACTCTATTGTTAATAAATCATGGTGCCTCAGATTGGGAAAAAAAAAAACTGTTATAGGACCGAACATTACTGGGAGTGATTCCTGAGCACTGAACCAGAAGCACCTCCCAGGCACCATCATGTGTAGCCCCAAAACCAAATCAGCAAAGAACTACACTCCAAATTTAAAAAAAAGGTGTATCATGTAATTTAACAGATGGAGTGACGTTTTCCGTATAATCATGTACAAAGTTTCCTAATTGGTCTGTGCTATTAGATATATCAGTGCTGAAAACATCACTGTGGCACTGTCCTCCCGTTGTTCATCGATTTGCTCGAGTGGACACCAGTAACGTCTCTGTTGTGAGGCTTGTTGTTACTGTACTGTTTTTGGCATATTGAATATGCTACGGGGAGCTTGCCAGGCTCTGCTGTGTGGGTGGGATACTCTCGGTAGCTTGCCAGGCTCTCCGAGAGGGATGGAGGAATTGAACCTGGGTCAGCCGCGTGCAAGGCAGACGCCCTACCCGCTGTGCTATCGCTCCAGCCCAAGTTTAAAATATTCTGCCTTATCTATGATGGATTAGCAGGGCAACTAATATTTTTAGCATATTTGACCTTCGTAATGTTGGGAAACATGGTTGTAAATAACTTTTCTTTTTTACAACAGGGATTGCTTGGCATTTTGTACAGAACCAGTTTTTGCCAGTTTAGCCAATGTTCTTGGTAACTTGGAAAACCTACCTTCCCCTATATCTCCAGATATTAAGGACTATAAACTTTATGATGTAGAAACCAAATATGGTTTGCTTCAGGTATGTATTTTTACTTATCATGTAAAAAGGGAATTTTTCTCTTCCATTTGTTCTTGACTCATTTGTTTATTTATTAAATATTTGTGCCAGGGATTAAAGTCAGCACTTCCCACATGCAAAGGCATATGTTCCATAGCTGGTTCTTTTTCAGCTCTTTGTAGTTTAACCATATATACTGCTTTATGGAGATCATTGGATCCTTTTAGGTGTTTAACATTATTTCTGTTTCCTAGAATATTTCTGTAGTTTATTGTTAGATTATATTTTGAGTACTTAAAAAATAAAACATCGGAGGCCGGAGATTTAGTACACCAGGCAGGTTATTTACCTTGCACGTGGAAACTGCGGTGTGATCCTGGCACTGCCTATGATTTCCTGAGTCACACCTTTAGTGATCCCTGAGCACAGAGCCAGGAGTAAACCATGAGCACTGCCGGGTATAGCCCATAAACAAAACACACACACACACACACACACACACACACACACACACACACACACAGCATTGGTAACCTTTGTTGAGTGCGCGTATTGATTAGATAATAGGACAGTTTTCTTTAATATATTTAACTTTTATATAAATAGTATGTCATTTTTTCGGTTTTTGTTTTTTGGGCCACACCCAGCAATCCTTATGGCTTACTCTGTGCCCAGGGATTAGTCCTAGAGCTACTTAGGGGACCATATAGGGTGCCAGGAGTTGAACTTTGGTTGACGACCTACAAGGCAAATGCCCTGCCTGCTGTGCTATTGCTCCAGCCTCTATATGTATATATATATAACATATAAAACTTTATATGTTGTATATGTACATGATTTTAACCTTTTGAAGGTATTTTATAAACAAAACATTAAGATGAAATAATAAAGTACTTAATTCTTTTCTTGAAGTTATAAATTTTTAGTACATATTAAAGCATAGTTTTAGCCTTTTCATGTTTGTTCACTTTTTTCTGATTTTCCTTGCTTATAAAAATTTCCTGGGCCAGCCTTGGCAGACCTCTATTTTATCTCCCTGTTCTGAGATATTTTATTATCATTAAAAGGGGTTTATTTAATGTAAAAATGTTTGGTGTTTACAGGTTTCTGAAGGATTGTCATTTTTGCATAGCAGTGTGAAAATGGTTCATGGAAATATTACACCTGAAAATATAATTTTGAATAAAAGTGGAGCCTGGAAAATAATGGGCTTTGATTTTTGTGTTTCATCTACTAATCCTTCTGAACAAGAGGTAATGAAGGCGCTTTTCTTTTTTAAATTATTTTCGGTTGTAGACATAGGTGATTGCTTCTGGAAGAGATGATAGGACTTACAAGACTGACATGTATAGAAATTGCTTATTTGGTATCATATGATTATATAGCTGTATAGAATATTCCTAATGTTATTTGTACCAAGAGTATACAGTTTTTTGGGGGCTGGAGTGATAGGACAGAGAGTAGGGCATTTGCCTTGTACACAGCCATCCCAGGTTCCATTCTCAGCATCCCATATGGTCCTCCGAGCACTGCCAGGAGTGATTCCTGAGTGCAGAGCCAGGAGTAACCCCTGAGCATCGCCGGGTGTGACCCAAAAAGCAAAAAAAAGAGTATACAGTTTTTTAGTACTGTTGGACTTACTATTACTTGAGAAAATGATCTAGATTATTTGAGAACTCAGGTTCAATAGATTTCTTCGTCTCAGAATAAGAGACTCTAATAAATGTTATGAATCTTGCTGTTTTGCTGTTTTGCTCTGAGATCCCAAAGCACCAGTTTCTTAGTAATTGTGATATGCCTATTTTTTTGTTTTTGTTTGTTGGTTTTGGGGCCACACCTGACAATGCTCAAAAGTTACTCCTGGCTCTGTGTTCAGGATTACTTCTCCCAGGACTGGGAGACTGTATGGGCCATCAGGGATAGAATCTGGGTTGGCCGTGTGCAAGGCAAGCGCCCTGCCTTACCCATTATACTAAACCTCTTCAGTCTCCTGATATGCCTACTTATCCATAGGAAAACCCTGCAGTTTCTAGGTTTTTCAATTCTATGTCCTTGTTAGTTCAGTTTGTGACTTCACAGTTCAAATAGGTTGAGGGAAGCAAAAGAATTGTTGAATACATATCGTCAAACAGGCACTGTTGTAGGCCAGTTTTCTGTACGTTCATTTAATCTTTATAAATAACTTTGAATCTAGTAACTAATTAGGTGGTGAAATAATAAAGCTGGTTAGTGAAAGAACAATATGTCACATAGCAGTATATTTGATTCCGTATAATTTGAAGCCTGTTTATCAAAAGACATGTACCAAATATCTCCATATTTATAGTATATGTTTTGGGTGGGGGGCATGCAGTGTCAAGGACTGAATTTGGGGCTTTTTGTATGCAAAGAAAGAACATTGACCACTGAACTATTTCCTGGCCCTTAGAGTAGACATTATTATAAAAATATGTCTTCTGGGAGACATCTGGAATCATTTCAAAGTTACTAATTCTTATTCTTGGGACTGGAGCGATAATACAGCGGGAAGTGCACTTGCCTAACACACAGGCATCCTGGATTCAGCCCCTGGCACCCCATGTGGCCCCCAAAGCCCACCAGGAGTAATCTTTGAGTGCAGAGCCAGGAGTAAGCTCTGAGTGCCTCTGGGTATAGCCCAAAACCCCTCCCCTACAAAAGAGTTCTTATTCTTGGGCCGAAGACTGCACGGGGATCAAGGCGGCTTTCTTACATGCGGCAAACCACAGATCAGTCCTTGAGCACCATCATAAGTTACTCTTGAGCACTGCTTGGTCTAACCTAAAACATAAAAAAAAAAAAAAAACCTCTTATTTAGTTCGTGCTCTTTCCGTATTTGAGAGTTTTAGGGTTGAAGATGATGATCTCATCTTTACTTATTCTACTGTGAGTTTAAAACTAGACTGCTATTGCTTTGTAGTTTGCTCTAAATGAAAGTATTTATATGCATATCTTTCTGTCTTCTTATAGCCTAAGTTTCCTTGTAAAGAATGGGACCCAAATTTACCATCGTTGTGTCTTCCAAATCCTGAATATTTGGCTCCTGAATACATACTTTCTGTGAGCTGTGAAACAGCCAGTGATATGTACTCCTTAGGAACTGTCATATATGCTGTATTTAACAAAGGGAAACCTATATTTGAAGTCAACAAGCAAGATATTTATAAGAGTTTTAGTAGACAATTGGATCAGGTATTTGCCTATGAAATATTTCTATTAAACATTTGCAGAATGTTTCTTTGATAGATATCTAAATATGTTCAAAATAGTTTTTATTCTGTTGAAATCAGCTTAATAAAGTCAATTCTATAATCAGGACTAAAATTTGTCACTGCAGTTTTAGTCATGCCTTTATTAATTTTACTCAAGTAACTCTTTGAAATGTAGTTTAAAATACTGAGCTTTTTGTTTTGGAATTAAGCAGTTTTAAGTATTAAAGTATTTAAATTATCTTTGAATAGTATAATATACAGTAAATTGTTCAATCTAAAAATCTGTTCAGTAACTTTTAAAGGTTTCTTAGATCTTTGACAACATAAGTGTATATCTTTTAAAATATTTTTATTTTTAATGTAACTCTTTTGATAGTTGAGTCGTTTAGGATCTAGCTCACTTACAAGTATACCTGAGGAAGTTCGGGAACACGTAAAACTACTATTAAATGTAACTCCAACTGTAAGACCAGATGCAGATCAAATGACAAAGGTGAGTACACATGGATTTCTATTTTAGATGGGGGCACAAAATGTGAGGTACAGAGGACTTAGCACTTCTAATAAAATACATCTTTATTCTTGAATATATAGGGGCCAGAGTGATAGTGCAGTGGCTGGTCGACTTGCCTTGCACACGACCAACCTGGGTTTGATCCTCAGTATCACATATAGTCCACCAAGTTCCACCAGTGATACCTGAGTGCAGAGCCTCAACAAAGCCCTGAGCACCATGGGTTGTGGTCCAAATACCACTGGCTGGGGAGAGGGGGGAAAGAAGGAAAGAAAAACTCAACATATAAAATACCCGACTTCTTGTGGCTGGATGATAGTACAGTGGGTAGTGTGTTTGCATTGCGTGCACTGATGGAGTTCGATCACCAGTACTCCATATGGTATCCTGAGCCCTCCAGGAGTAAGCCCTGAGCACTACCAGTTGTAGCCCAAAAACCAAAAATAAAATAGAATACTCAGCATCTTTGAATCTTAAATAGGTTAAACATTTATATATGTAGCTGTTCTAATACAAAATTTAGACTTTAAACATAATCCTACTAGTGATGATACATACAGGATTTCCAGACTCTCTGACTTCATTCTTCTATCATGTGCTCATATAAGCATGGGTTCTAATAAATGAATACACAAATAAATACATGTATTCAGTATATTTGATCAGTCCTTCAGTGTTTTTACCATTTCTGTAAAGGTAAAGGTAAAGGTAAAGGCCCTCCCGTTGATCGTCGATTTGCTCGAGCGGGCCCAGTAACGTCTCCATTGGAGACTTTGTTGTTACTGTGTCTGGCATATCGAATACTCTCGGTAGCTTGCCGGGCTCTCCAAGAGGGGTGGAGGAATCGAACTCGGGTCGGCCATGTTGGCCGCGTGTAAGGCAAACGCCCTACCCGCTGTGCTATCGCTCCAGCCATTTCTGTAAAGAAAAATTTATGCCTCGCCAGTAGATACTGATTCTAAAAATGTGAGCTTGGGAATAAAAACAGTTACTTCCTTTTCTGATTTTTATAATAAAAATTCTTTTTTATTGGACTGGAGCAATAGCATAGCGGGTAGGGCATTTGCCTTGGATGCGGCCAACCCAGGTTCAATTCCTCCGCCCCTCTTGGAGAGGCCGACAAGCTACTGAGAGTATCCAGCCTGCACAGCAGAGCCTGGCAAGCTCCCCGTGGCATATTTGATGTGTCAAAAACAGTAACGATAAGTCTCACAATTTGTTGTGAGATGTTACTGGTGCCCACTCCAGCAAATCAATGAACAACGGGAGGACAGTGCTACAGTGCAGAATTTTTATTTAGTGGTCTTTAGTATTTTATTAAATATTTTTGAATTTTTCATCATACTTTGGTAATTTTAGACATAAGTATTTTAACTCTAATATATGCTATAATAATTGTATCTTCCTATTTCAGATTCCCTTCTTTGATGATGTTGGTGCAGTAACACTGCAGTATTTTGATACCTTATTCCAAAGAGATAATCTTCAGAAATCACAATTTTTCAAAGGACTGCCAAAGGTTCTACCAAAACTGCCCAAGGTTTGTTATCGATCAGTTTCTTATTATAATCATATTTTTAATTTAAGCTTTTCTTTGGCTCATTTTAATAGCTTTTCCAAAGAATTAAATGTAACTTTCGCCTTAGGAGCATAAATTACCATAAAAGGCTGCCAAATGATTTCAGAAGTTTAGTGAATCTTCTCTGCGTGGTCCAAAAAAGTTCAGTAGGATTTGAAAATTTAAAAGACTACTACCTGTGCAGATAAACCCTTCCTTAGATATTACGTATTGAAAATTTCACAAAATGCCATTGTGGAGATCACTACCTCATTAGAGGAAGGGGGTTACTCTTTTATTTATTTATTTATTTATTTATTGAATCACTGTGGGAAAAGTTACAGAGCTTTCGGGTTTAGGTCTCAGTCATGTAAAAATCAAACACATTTCCCTTTACCAATACTTATTTTTAACCCCGAACCCCAATAGACCCCCACCTCCCACCCCTCCCAATTCTTTGTGAGGCAGATGAGTTCTAGTTAATACTCTATCTACTTTGACTAGATAGATTGTTTCGATAGAAGATGCACAATTATTGTTTAGAGTTTACGACCCACCCCCCCACAATCAGATATGCTGAAACAGCGTTGTGAAATGATTTGCTTTCTACAACTTGGTTTAAGAATAAAATGATGTCGCGCGGCCGCTATCGCAGCCTTTCCCCTTTCCCCTCCTGGCAGGCTTGGTGGCATGGTTTAACACATAGTCCATTTGCTTTTCTGCTCCAAGCTGCTGGTTCTCTGTGCTAAGTCCTTGTGCCTCCGGGGCCGTGGCCGTGCCGGAGAGCCGCTCGTGGGGGGCAGGGGCGACCTCGGTGGGGCGTGGGGGACGGCCCACAAAGCCCCCCTTCCCATGAGGTCCCCAACGCTCCCGCCAAGCCCGGCTCAAACCTGCTGTCCACAAGGCTCCCGTGCGGCCGCCATCTTTCTTTCCAGAGAGGAGCGGGCGGGGGGGCGGTTACTCTTGCATCGCTACTGCCTCCATGGTTCCTTACACTTTCATCTGGTGTTTTAAATCATGAGTAAATACAGAGTGAAAGTATTGGTGACTGCTAAAGGAACCATGGATTGAAAAACTAGGAATTTCTGGTTTCAAAAATGTTTCTAGTGTTTAATCTATCAGATGTCCATCTACGATCTATTATTTGTCTCTAGCACTTTACTTTGATGCTGTAGAGAATAAAGAGAAACGTTGTTCTTACTCTCCAGGCCCTCCAAAGTGTAGAGAGCGTTAACATACCTGATAGGGCCAACAGTGTGGCATTGTATAACTATCCTCTATATGGTTCCAAAGCTGCTGCTTTAGTTTCTTTTCCTTACCCATCTGTGCTCAGGGCTCACTCCTGGTGGAGTTTGGGGGACCAATTGGGGTGTTGGGGTTTGACTGGGGGTCAGGTGTGTGCAAAGCAAGCACCTTACCTGCTGTACTAACTCTCTGACCCTTATGTGGCAAAGTCAAGTTGCGTCTTATGGATCATTAATAATGAGGAATTAAGAGGAGAAACATTAGTGAAGATGAATAAGGGAAGATTTCTGAATTTGCCATATTCCCATTACACCTTTTGTTCTTTATTATCCTCAGTAATGATGATACTTAGCAGCAGCCACATTGCTCTCAACTGTGTTCTGGTTTCAACCGTAAATTACATGGTCTGGTTACATAAAGAAATCGGACATTTTATATTTATTTATTTGTTTTTACTATTGTTTTAACCATATCTGTAGCTGCCAGAGGTTGAAGATTTTAGATTTGTTAAAACTGAAACCTGAAATTAGTTGTAGTTTTATGGACAGCATTTTTTGCTTTTCAGCGTGTCATTGTACAGAGAATTTTGCCTTGTTTGACTTCAGAATTTGTAAATCCCGACATGGTACCTTTTGTTTTACCCAATGTTCTACTGATTGCTGAAGAATGTACCAAAGAGGAATATATCAAATTGATTCTACCTGAACTTGGTCCTGTCTTTAAACAGCAGGAGCCAATCCAGGTATGTGTGTGTGTATATGTCTACATATACTATATATGTATGTATGTATAAGTATATATATGTAATGTGTATATGGGGTTTTTTGCATATTGGTATTATTCAATTATTTTAGTCAATGAAGACTATCTTTGAAAATGAAAGTATAAAATATACTACTCTGTTTTTCTGTTTGTTCATTTATGGCGGGGGACCGCTCCTAGTAGTACTCAGGACCGTGTGGTGCTGGGGGCTGAACCCACTACCCCCACATGAGTAGAGGAAGTACTCCAGCCTTCTGAGTCCCTAAATATGCTACTTTTTAAAAATTGAGAGATGTACCAGAGACTTTTTTCCATTAGAAGGTATTTTGGATGTTTAAATGAAACATTCCTAAAATTATAATTGAACTCAGCAAGTAAATATTTTCCCAAGTTTAAATTTAAGAAAATAAATTCCATTTCAGAAAATCTTAGATTTGTTATCCTGTTCCCATTAACCTTACTGAAAGTTCCAGCTTTGGGAAAGTTACAGCTTTGTATTTTTACCTCTTGTACTTTTGGGGGGCCTGTCTTGGGGCCACACCTGGCTGTGCTGCTCTGGGCTTATTCCTGGCTCTACGCCTGACTTGGGTGTCATTCCTGGTGGGTTCAGGGACCATATGGGGTACAGGGGACTGAATCCAGGTTAGACACAATCAAGGCAAACACCTTATCCGCTCTCTGACCCAGGTAGTTTGATTTTTTTGTTTGTTGGTTTGGTTTGGTTTGGTTTTGGTTTTAGGGTCACACCCAGTGGTGTCCAGGGGTTATTCCTGGCTCTACACTCGGGGATTACACCTAGAAGAGCTTGTGGGACCATATATGTTGCAGGGGATAGAACCCAGGTCAGCCACATGTGAGTGGCTGTACACCTGCTGTACTATCTCTTTGGCTGTCCATGTCCTGATTTCTGAAATGAAGGGGTCATTGAAATTAAATCTTCTGGTACATGGTAAATGTTAGTACATGCCTCTGCCATTATACAGCTGTGGTTTAGTCATAAACCATTTATGCCAGTAAGCTTATTTAATGTGCTTTTGGGGTGTTGGGGTCTTTTTTATTTTTCATTTTTTGGTCCACATCTAGTTTTGCTAGACCCCTGGGGGCAAGAGATGGGTCTCAGAGGTCCTGGGGCCTTTTGAGCTATTTTCCTCACCCTGATTTAATAGCCTGTGACAGGCTATTGTGGTCCTTCCTTTGAACGGAGGGCAGCGGGAGAAAATCTGGGTTTCAAGGCCTGTGGCTAACTAAAAGGCAGATGAGGAAACGGAAAGATTGAATCAGAATTTATAAGAGGGCTAAGTTAGTGAAGCCACATGTTTGCCATACAGCAAAGTACTACCATATGGAAACTGCTATAGAATTTTATTTGCCTTTATTTTTTGGTAAGTTTTCCTTAGTGATTCAGTTCATTTCTTCCCAGAACTTTTAAAATGAGTATTTAAAAACTGAGTGTTCTGTGTAAATAGAAAGGGGCATTTTGATCCGTTTCTTTATAGAGTTGTTATTTGTTCTTTTCATTTCTGTACTTCTCTTCAACTTTTCTTCTTTGGGCTATCTGGCTTTGCTGCCCTCGAGATCTTTTTTGAGCCAGATAGAATTTGTGGGTGAGCTACGTACTACTATATAGATATGTTAGAATTAGATAGTATTAATTTAAATGTTTAAATTGAGAGCCAGTATTAAATATTGTGCTTCCAGAAATGCAAGAGCCTTGATATGTATGTTTTTGCTTTCCATGCCTTCAGGCTAGCAACATGGTGAGTGTCAATAAATAGAATTTAACTTTTGAAAAAAAAATCTTTAAATTTTATATATAGAATCTTGTAAAAATTCTAGATTTTAAATATTGTTCCTTTCCTAAACAGATTTTGTTAATTTTCCTACAAAAAATGGATTTGCTACTGACCAAAACCCCTCCTGATGAGATAAAGAACAGTGTCCTACCAATGGTTTACAGAGCACTAGAAGCACCTTCCATTCAGATTCAGGTATATTTGATTTGTTTTTCTTCATGCCAGTTTTCATTCTTAATGTAAAAGAAAAAAAGCGAAGTATATACTGGATTTGGAGTCTTCAGTCTTTTTTTTTGGTTGTTGTTGTTGTTATTGTTGTGGACTGCATCTAGCAATGCCCAGGCCTGACTTGGCTCTTTGCTCTGGGGTCATTGCTGCTGGCATCCGGGGGTTATCTGTGTGCCAGGGAAACGTGGGAGGCTGCATGTAAGCAGCCGTCTTCAGCCCTGAGTTATTCAGTCTTCTCTATAAAACTTAAAAGTATAAATTCATATCTGTGGAATTATATGATTGATAAAATATTTCTAAGATGCATCTACTCCTAATTAAAGAATCTGAGGAATTATAATCTTGAATTTGTGAGTGATACAGATGAAAAAGCAGACAGTACTTTAATCTGGTTCCTAGTGCATCACACTCTTGCTTTTGTCCCACAAAGAAAGTTGATCTTAAAATTTTTATAATGTAAACATTGTGCGACATTTTGTTCTATTTGCTTTTATAATTTTGTTTCTGTGAACTGACATAAAATTTCTTCTGGATCACCCTTAGAGATGGTCTGGAGTGATCGCACAGTGGGTAGGGCCTTGCATGTGGCCGACACGGCCAACCCAAGTTTGATTCCTCTACCCCTCTCAGAGAGCCCGGCAAGCTACCAAGAATATCTCGCCCGCACAGCAAAGCCTGGCAAGCTCCCTGAGACGTATTGGATATGCCAAACACAGTAACAAGTTTCACAGTGTTACTGGGCCCACTCGAGCAAATCGTTGAACAACAGGAGGATAGTGATGGTGACCCTTAGAGATCTAATTTAGTTTCTTTTTGTTTTTAATTTTTAAACTTTAGAGAAGACTGTTAATACCGTTTTACTGCATAATTGGTTTCCTGTGGAAAAGTTGAACAAGTTGAAGTTGTTCAGTTCTTTTGTTTAGTCTCCTGTTTCTGGGTTTCATATTCTGTCCCTAGCGAGAGCCCTTTCCTTTACCTGAGTGCCTCTATGGAACGATGACTTGGAATTTGCCTCCTTGAACCAATACTGCTTGGTTATATAGCGTAGCGTGCTCACACTCAGTGTGGGGCTCCTAAGCAGTGCTCAGGGGACCTGGGACCATTTTGGTGGTTCTTAGCTGACTGCACTCATGATTCAATGCAGGGGCCATGGGATGTGTTTCTGCTTGGGCTTTGCAGTGCTAGGGATCATAGTGTCACAGCCAACAGTGCTGGGGGCCTCCGGGGCTACACCTAGTGATGCTGGAGCATCAGGTGATACCAGGAATCATACCAGGGTTTGGGTGCTTGCCTTTACCCTGCTTTGTACTACCTCCTTAGTCCCTGAACATTCAATTCTTTGGGGTAGATTTGGGTTATACTCAGCAGTGCTCAGGGACTACTCCCAATCCAGTGCTCAGGGATTGCTTTTGGAGATACTTTAGGGACCATGCACTGTTGGGATTGAATTAGGGTTGACTCTATGCAAGGCAAGTACCTTAACCTCTGTCCTGTCTCTTTGACCGTAAACTTATGATTCTTTTATGTGTGTGTGTGTGTGTGTGTGTGTGTGCACGCGCACGTGTGTGTGCGTGTTTATGTGTGTAAATTTGAAAAAAGGTTAAAGAAAAAAACTGGCTGAATTTTTGATAATAGATGATTTCCTTTTACATTATTTAATTCATAGTTCATTTATTTTTGTCCATTAGTTATAAGTAATTATCTTTAACAAATACTGTAGTATATTCCTTGAGGCCCATTCATATCTACCTTTTCCCGTAATTTGCTTCAAAGATTATTTTACTCTTCCTGAGATACATTCTTCAGTCAGGTGGTTCTCAAGTCTTTTTTTTTTCCTTGTTTTATATAGTCCCCCTGCTCCCAGTCATCCCCCTTTTCACTTTATTGTCCTTATTAAGAGCACCCAGTTCCAATCTTGTATAATATGCACAACATTTAGAAGAGTTTTTAAATAACTTTTTTCTGTCCCTATGATTTATTCTTGTTTACATTTCAGAATTTAGAAGTACTTAAACATATAAAGAAAATTGAAATTCTCTTTCATATATGCCCAGAGTTCTATCTATTCTGATAGAACCTTATAGTCATATTTTACCTAAGCGTATAGACATATACATGTACTAAAAAATTTAGGGGGGGTGGTGGGGTCCAGGCCACATCTGGTGGTATTCAGGGGTTACTCCTTACTCTGGGCTCAGGGTCACTCCTAGTGGTTCTCAGGGCACTATGTGCAATGCTGTGGATCTAACCAGGATCGGGGCATGTAAGGCAAGTGCCTCAACTTTATACTATCTCTCTGGCCCCATACATATTTTTCACGTGGGGTTGCTTAATAACGTTGTATTAAGATTCCCTTCAATATTAAGATTTTTGGGCCATACTGACTGTACCCAGTGCTTAATCCTGGCTTTGTACTCAGTGGTCACTTCTGGTGATGCTTGGAGATCGTATGTGGACTTGAACTAGAATCAGCCATGTGCAATGCAAGCATCTTAGCCCCTTTACTGTCTTTCTGGTCCATTAAAAATATTTTATTTTTTTGTTTATTTTTTTGCTTTTTGGGTCACACCCGGCAATGCTCAGGGGTTACTCCTGGCACTGCACTCAGGAGTTACTCCTGATGGTGCTCGGGGACCATATGGGATGCTGGGAATCGAACCCGGGTCAGCTGCGTGCAAGGCAAATGCCCTACCCGTTGTGCTATCGCTCCAGCCCCCATTAAAAGTATTTTAAAAGATGCTTATATTAGATTCCATTGCATGGATATATTTAACTGCTAAGAAATCATGCTTAATACAGGAATAATTTTACGATTTTTTACTTGATTTTCTCTCATTGTGAAAAATAATAAAACATAGGTATCCCTGGGGGTTCCTTTGAGTTTTTTTGTTGTTATTGTTTGTTGTGAATGTAGGTTGGGCTAGAACGATAGCACAGCAGGTAGGGCATTTGCCTTGTACACCGCCGACATTGCCGACCCGAGTTCGATTCCTCTGCCCCTCTGCGGGAGCTCGGCAAGCTACCGAGAGTATCTCGCCCGCATGGTAAAGCCTGGCAAGCTACCCGTGATATTAGATATGCCAAACACAGTAACAAGTGTCACAATTACTGGGCCCACTCAAGCAAATCGATGAACAACGGGAGGACAGTGATAGTGAATTGTTTGTTTATGTTTGACCCACACCTGACAATGCTCCGGGGTTACTCCTGACTCTGCATTCAGAAACTACTCCTGGCAGTGCTTAAGGTACCAGATGGGATACCAGGGATTGAATTGGGGCCGACCCATGTGCTGGGCAACCATCCTACCCGCACTACTATTTCTCCAGCCCCAGGTGTTCCTGTTTTTAAAATTAGTTAATAATAGGGACCGGACAAATAGCACAGTGGGTTGAGTATTTGTCTGGCATGCTGCCAACTAAGGTTTAATTCCTGGCACACCACATGATTCCCTGAATCCTTTAAGGATTAGTTCTTGAGCATGGAGCCTTGAGTAAGCTCTGAGCACTGCCAGGTATGACCCAAAATTTAAAAAAAAAAAGATTAATAATTGAGTTATTTGAAAAAGAAATTAGGAATGAGACCAGGGAATTTTGGATTCCTAAGTACCACATGACAATGTGATTTTGAATACAACTTCTAAGCTTGTGCCCTCATTTGTAAATTGAAGAGTGATAACTCTCTTCAGTAAGTCTTTGAAATATTTGTTAAAGGAACATTCATATATTTCGAACAATATGAAAAATTAGCCAGGTAAAAGCAACATATTTTAATGTGTGACAGAAAGAAAGAGAGCTTCTCTCCCTAAGTAAGATAAATTTAATTTATTTTTCTATTAGGAATTATGTTTAAACATCATTCCTACCTTTGCAAATCTTATTGACTACCCATCCATGAAAAATGCTTTGATACCAAGAATTAAAAATGCCTGTCTACAAACATCTTCTCTTGCTGTAAGTAACTGCACACTAATTATTTATCTTCTACATTTTATTGGTTTGTATTTCTTATTGTTCTTATTGTTTCTTATTGTTTAAATATGGGCTTTATAACTTTAGTTTTTCCTGATACATACTTTTATGATAGTTTGTCTTTATTTCCTAACTTTGAGTGTGTCAGTAGGAAATTTGTGTAATTTTTTTCCCCCTTAATCTTTTTTCTGCTGCAATTCACTGTTTTGTTGGTGGTAATTTTATAATAATGAAAGTCCTAGCTTGATATATTCACCTAAAAACTTTTTTAATGGCTTTCTTTTATAAACTGCTTTTATTTTAATTCTAATATCTCATCATTTGCTTACTTAAAAATGATGGAGTACAGTGAAATTATTATGCTAATAAAAACACAAGTGCAGCAAATAATTGTATTAAAAAATATAGGCTAAGGATGGTACCTCCTTTAAATACAGAATTTTAATATGAGGACTCAGTGTACAGCAGGTAAGGCATTTACCTTGTATGCAGCCAAGCTGGGTTCTGTCCTCACCATCACGTAGAGTTCCCCTGAGCCCCACCAGGAGTAATCCCTGAGTACAGGGCCAGTAGTAATCCCTGGGCTCTGCTTGGTGTGACCCAAAAGCAAAACTAAAAAAATTTTAACACAATGGTGTTTAGTAAGAAAGAAGATTAAAGAGCAATTATCATCATATGTTAGGAATAATGAGTATTTTCGGCCTTTTCTATAAAACACTAGAAAGAATTGGATTCTGGTAGACTCTAAGTATAAGCAACACTGAATATTATCTTAAATGCAGCTCTAGAAAAGAGGAAAGAATATTTTTTCATCTGAACTTTCATATACTGATGTTTGATGAATAAAGGTAGTTGAAATTTGTAAGGAATTTTGGCAATCTCACCTATGTTTAATAAAATGTCAGTTTAAATTAAAAAAAATTTTGTTGCTGTAGAAAAGTTCTATTTAAGTGTCATGATTTTATTGATAACAGTTTAATTCATTTTAAACATGTTTTGGTAGAAAGGCTCAGAGATGAATACACCAAAATCAGAAAAACATCTTTATAAAGAAATGTTAACAAAATGAAGTGAGAAAACCTGCACTGTAATTTTGACTCTATTCTTTTTGCCTTTGGACAAGTCTGAACCTCTGAGTCTGGGGGTGGGAGTTTGGGCCGCAGCCAGCAGTGCTCAGGGCCTGCTCCTGGCTCAGTGCTTGTGAGTCGCTGGCCTTGTTGCTCAGGACAATGCAGTGCCTGGGACTGAGCCAGGGTTGACGCATGCGAGGCAGGTGACTTAGTCCCTGTACTATCTTTCCAATCTTGAAATTCCATATTAATCAACATTAAAAGAATTTAAGATGCAGCCTTTTTCTCTAAATTCCCTTAATTTTATGATGAAAATTTTCACAAGCTAATGATAGGTGAAAATTTCAGTTTTCAAAATTCCCTTTAAGAAATTACATAAGCCATGCTATATTTTATGGTAGTATAAATATGTAAGCATTTATTTTGTCAAAGTGTATGTACTACTTCAGTTTGGATCGTGTATGCATAGTGACGTGGGATCGTGGATTTAAATGATCTAGGCTAAAGTGATCTGGGTTCAGGGATGGATTTGGGGCCACATCCTTGGTGCTGGGTTTTGAGCCAGTGTCACAGCCACATGCTAGGCAAGCACTTTAACCTTTGTACTAGCTTTTATGTATAAGTGGGTATTATATTTATTTATAATACACAGTAACAACAAATTCTCCAGTAGAGACGTTACTGGGCCCGCTCGAGCAAATCGACGATCAACGGGAGGGCCTTTACCTTTTATATAACATATAATACATGGTATATATGTAGTCCATTATATATTATATATGTAATGTGTGCGTATATATACACATTATATGCATTGTACATTAAAGATATAACTGCTGAACTATTGAAGACAAGGTTTTTAAATTTTTTTTTTTTTTAACATTTTACTTTTTTTTTCTTTTTTTGCTTTTTGGGTCACACCCAGCGGTGCTCAGGGGTTACTCCTGGCTCATGCACTCAGGAATTGCTCCTGGTAGTGCTCGGGGGACCATATGGGATGCTGGGAATCGAACCTGTGTTGGCCATGTTGGCTGCGTGCAAGGCAAACGCCCTATCCGCTGTGCTATCGCTCCAGCCCCAAGGTTTTTAAGTTTTAACAGTAAATTTAGAATGAATTTTTACATTTTAACACATTCAGTGTTCACTCCTTCAGAGTATGAAGTAGGTGAGTTCCTAAATTTCATTCATAAATATACCATTTTGGAAACAGGAGTCTTTAATTAAAATTATATTTTAATAATGACTCTTAGAAAAAGAGAAAAACAAATTACACAGAGATAAAGTGCCCTAAAAACTATTTCTCTATGACTCTACATGACTGATATTTTACCTAAATAGCAGAAAATTAAATTGCAAGTTAGTGAATGTGTGTATATAATTGTTCATTCCAATAATCTGCAACAGTTTCTTTCTGCAGACTAATTCTAAGAGCAGGTCAAGCCTTCAGATACTTTTTTCAATTTTAAGTATCCCTTGTGTTTGAATTTCAGTAACTAATTTTGTGTCATGTTTTAGGGGGGAAAAGTTCACCTTTCTTGGAGAAAAATGGTACTTTTCATTTTTGTGGGGGGCACCCCCCCGCAATGCTTCCTGGCTCTGCACTCAGGAATTACTCCTGGCAGTTTTTTTAAAACTGAAATTCTTCTGGTATTGTAATCCTGACTCAAATGTACTCATCAAGCTATAAAAATAAGGTGAAAAATATTTATTATTATAACTTTAAATTCATTTTTGGAGGCTACATCCATTGGTGCTTCCACTCCAGCCTCAATGCTCAGGTATAGAGAAGTTCAGTGCTGGAATTCAAACTGGGGTCAGCTGCATGCAAGGCAGGAATCTTAAGCCCTGGTGAGAGATGTAGCTTGGTGGACGGACATTTGCCTTGCAAATATGAGGCCCTTGGTTCAATCTCTGGGATCACCAAAAAAAAAAAAAAAAGGACCTTAATCCCATACTATCCTTAAAGTATTTATCTGTATAGTCAAGATTATGTATACTTTTGGTGGAAACTTTCCTAAATGTAAGGTTTTAGTAACTTGATTGCATACAAATCTTCATATTACAGCAAAGTTAGGTGCTTGTCACATATTAAAATAGTTTAAGAATCAAACAAAAATATGGGAGGCCCAATTAAGTTGATCAATTGATGAAACAATTTTTTATAAAAAGGGATGTCCTCCTATTAAGTATTGTTCTTTTTATAATTTAAATGTATCCGATGAAGTTTTTAGTATTTATATCTATCACAAAGCATCTCAAATTCTAATCACTTCATGTAAATGGTGTAAAATTGAAGTCATTCTTTATCGTTACTGGTATCTAGGTAATTCAGTCACAAAATCTTTCTGAAATAAGTAGGAGAATCTGTACATTTATAAATTTCTTTATAAAGAATGAGAGGTTATCTATTCAAAGGTTAAATTTACACTCAAATTTTATATTTTAGCTTGCAAAGACTTAAATGACTAATGCATCTTACCTCTTTTCTTAGGTCCGTGTAAATTCATTAGTGTGTTTGGGAAAGATTTTGGAATACTTGGATAAATGGTTTGTACTTGATGATATACTACCCTTCTTACAACAAATTCCATCCAAGGAGCCCGCAGTCCTCATGGGGATTTTAGGTAGCTGAAAACTTAATATTATTTGATGCTATATTTATAGTCATGTAAATAACGTTTTTCCAATCTGTATAACCATTGTGCTATTAGTGTCTGTAGCATTTAGTAATTCAAGTGATAGGGTAAATGCCATGATATGATATAGTGTTGTGTTAATTTTAGCAAAAGCAGTAGAACCTTGGCATTTGAAAGACATTTGAGAATCATGGCTTTACAAATACCATGAAACCGTGTTGTTTTTTTCTGTAAAATGGTACCAAATAAGAGAGTCAAAGAAATCTACTTTAAATGCTGTTACCATTCGTAATAGTGATGCTGGATGTTTATTTTTTCCCCAGTTTTTAAAAGGTGCTGCATTAATTATTTTCTCTTATCTTTGTTCTCTCCAGAACCTAATGATTTATGTTTATTTTTTGTTTTACAATGAGGAAACTGAGTCCCAGAGAAGTGAAATAAGTTGTTCAAGTTCACATGAGTGATAAATGGTGGATGTTTTAATTTAGATATATTTAAATCTTAGCAGTGTGTCTCACTGCTAAGTGATGTGCTGATGTTATACATATATTAGCCTTATATCTAGTTTATCTGCATAATTGCAAATTACTATTTCCAGAAACTCTTAAAATGATTGTAAATTGCTAAGGTTATGAAGATCTAATCTGGAAATGCTGGGGTTCAGCTCTAGTAATAGAAATAGACATAGCTGTAGAGTCATGAAAACATTACGTTCACATTGAAGCTCTTCATTAATTGTGAAAAATGCTACATTACTCTGCTCTGTGTATTTAATACCTGCTACAGTGCTTGGCCTGTAAATAGTTGTCAGTAAATATTTGTGGGACTGGTCAGCAAATGGTTTATTGTACAACTTGACAGAGTCTTAAAACTTTGAAGCTCAAAGAAGTACTCTTATTGAGAATGTGCTTGGTATCAAGGAAGAGATAACCTCTTATCCTGACAGCGTCAGCTCCTGAAGTAACTTTGAAAAGTTCCTTCAGTCGTCAGAAGGCAATAAAAATATTATAGGATTCCTTGTTTTGTTTTGGGGACCACACCTGGTGGTGCTGAAGGCTTACTTCTGGCTCTGTACTCGGGAATTATTGCTGGAAGGCTCAGGGGGCCATCTGGGGTGCTGGAGTTCGAACCCAAGATGGGCACATTCAGGGCAAGTTCCCTACCCGTGGTACTATTGCTCTGGCCCCTATTAAGAGGATTCTTGTGTGAGAATTAAGTGATATCACTGAAGGGAATGTCACGTGCATCATGCCCAGCATAAAGCGTGCAGCAGCGGGAGTTCTACGGCAGTTTTAAAGCATTGGCTTGTGTATAAAGCATTTGGAATATTTGGAAGGCATTCAGAGAGCGAGGAGCAAACCTGCCCAGTGGAGTAGGTGACACAAGCAGTCTTGAAGTTTCAGTAAATAGATGAGGCAATAGAGAAGGATTGCAGAATTATTGTTCAAGCAGGTGGAGTCTAATGGGTTAAGGAAGTGAAAAAATATAAGACATTTTCACTGGATCTATACCTATTAAATATTTCTAGTTGGAATAAGAGTTCTGAGATATGTACTTGGATATTTTGGGGTGCAGAGGGGAATTCTCTAAGTTTGCTCTTGCATGATAGGAATTGTACCTATTTCTGATCATTTTTTTAATGTTGTGTCATTAAAACATGCTGAAAAGAGTGCGGAATATACTTTATAATGTCTAAATATAAACTGATGATGAAGCTGGAATCATTCTGACCCACATGTAGCACTACCAACCTTAGTCTCGGCACTGATAGGGAAAAGTTAGTAACTATACTGTTTTTGAAGCGAGATCATGAAGATAAATAATTTTTCTCACATTCTGATTTGTGATATTAAAAAACTTTCATCATTCTTTTCTACCAGGTATATACAAATGTACTTTTACGCATAAGAAGTTGGGAATCACCAAAGAGCAGCTGGCTGGAAAAGTATTGCCTCATTTGATTCCCCTGAGTATTGAAAACAATCTTAATCTTAATCAGGTAGGACTATTTTTGTTATGGTGTTTATTCAGTGCATTGGCATTTAATATATAAATTTATTATATATTAAGATTGCTAAAGCAAGGAAATTTATGTCAAAGAACTAAGGAAGTTTGTAAATTTAGAGGTACAAGGATAGCTTTTTGGGGGGAGCTCATGGAGTGTGGTTGCCCCTCACAATGTAGCACTTTAGCTGGTTTAGTACAAGGGCTTGAATACAGAGTGTTGCTAGGGCCCTGCAGTGCTAGAGATCACCAGGCCCACACAGAGGGGCTTGGAGCCCTCTAGTGCCACAACTGACACTCCTCAAAGACTCCCAAGGACATTACCCAGCAGTGTTTATGGAACCACGTGGCAACAGGGATCAAATCTGATTCTGCTGTATTTATGCTAGAGTGATAGATAGCACAGCGGGTAAGGCATTAGCCTTGCACGCGGTCGACCCGGGTTGATTCCTCCGTCCCACTCAGAGAGCCTGGCAAGCTACCGAGAGTATCCCGCCTGCACGGCAGAGCCTGACAAGCTCCCCGTGGTGTATTCGATATGCCAAAAACAGTAACAAGAAGTCTCACAATGATACTGGTGCCCACTCGAGCAAATCGGTGAACAATGGGAGGACAGTACTACAGTGCCTTAACCCCAGTATATCTCTTTTATCTCACGGAAGGATTGTTGAGGACTTACCTGGTAGATAGGAAATGAGCAGAATGTTGAAAGATGCCTAGACATGGGCACCGCTTCAAAATTAGAACTGGAAAGCTAACATGAACAAAGAAAAAATTTCATCTAAGATGTGTATTTATTAACTTATCACTACATAAGAAATTATCACAAAGTTAAGTACTTAAAACAATTTGTATTAAAAACAAACAGAAAAACAACTTAGGGAATGGGATGTCACCCAGCAGAAGGGCTCTTATTGTGTTGAATGTGTAAGGCCTAGGGCTCAATCCCCAGCTCTGCAAAGTGATCAAAACCAGAATATTTCACAGTAGCCATGGGTCAGCCAAGCCAGGGCTTAGCTGGAGTCTGCTTAGTTTCTCTCAGTGCTGCATTCAGGAGCTGGCGTCCCATCAGAGGTTCCACTGGAATCTGCTTCTGTGGCTCATTTCAAGACTGGTAGGGTTCAGATCCTTTTGGCTGTTGAATGAGTTATCTTTTTTAACTGATTAGTGCTGCTGGACCCATAGGCCTCTCCAGCATGACAAATACATCTCCAATTGGAAAAACAATCAGCTAGAGAGTTGAAAGTACTGTTCTCTTGATAATGGAGTCAAGAATATGACATTCCACTGCCTTTGCTTGTTCTGTTGCAATCATAGGTCCTGCCTACATGGCACCCACAAAGAGAGGCTTATACAGTCATCAGTAGCAGACTGAGGGGATAAATGTGACCTTTTTAGAACCTGTGAGCCACAAAGAAAAAAATAGTGTAGAACTGTAGAGATAACTCAAAGGGCCCATATGCGTGCTTTGTCGCCGGGGGCCTGGGTTCAGACTCCAGCACTGCATGGTTCTTCCTCTTCCAACACTCCTGCACCACCAGATGTGGTTTAAAAAAATATATGTCTATATACACACACACATATATACGTATATACACACACACACATATATATGTTATATATGTATTTTTATTTACAAATATATATGTCACTGTTACTGTCCTCCTGTTGTTTATCGATTTGCTTGAGCAGGCCCAGTAACGTCTCCATTTTGAGACTTGTTGTTACTGTTTTTAGCATATTGAATATGTCACGGGTAGCTTGCAAGGCTTTGCCGTGCAGACAAGATACTCTCGGTAGCTTGGTGGGCTCTCCGAGAAGGGTGGAGGAATCGAACCTGGCTCGGCCGGGTTGGCTGTGCGCAAGGCAAATGCCCTACCACTGTGCTATTTCTTCAGCTGAACATTCCAGTTTGACTGAGAAATGGTCAAGAATAATGGAAGAAGGTGGTTTGACACTACTGGAGATGTACTTCAAAAATCTGTATGCTTTAAGTATTTACTTTTTGAAAATGTGATGAACATTTGGACAAAGGAATAATGTGTTAAAAATGATTATCGCGTTATTTCTGAAGTTTTTACAGCTATCTATTACATATCTCACTTTTGTAGGAGTATTATAATTCATTTTTTATTTAACACTTAAAATTTTTCACATCTCCTTATCTTCCCTCTATTGATGTTATTTTTGGGTTGGGGACCACACCTGGCAGTGCTCCAGGGCTATTCCTTGGTCTGTGCACAGGAATGACTTCTTGCAGTGTTCTGGGGACCATAAGTGGTGCCAAGGGTTCAAACTAGGGTTAGTTGAATTTAAGTAAAATGTTAGCTGCAGCAGGCCCCCTTTTTTTTGGTGACCAGAGTGTGTGCGCTCTCTCTCTCTCTCTCTCCCTCTCTCTCTCTCTCTCTCTCTCTCTCTCACACACACACACACACACACGCACACAACACACAACACACACACACACTCACAGACACATACAGAGTTGTGGTGCTCATGAAGGTCATGCATCGTTTTGTGGAGTGCACACTGCATGCTGCTCATGCACACTCTGTTTATGTACTTGCCAGAACTCACCTTTTTGTTGTTGTTCTGGGGGCACACCTGGCAGTGCTCAGAGCTTCTGATTCTGTGCTCAGGGTCACTTCTTCTGGTGCTCAGGTAACCCTATGTGGTGCTTTACCTGCTACACTATTTTTCTCTGTCCTCTTCCCTCTTTTACTTATTTATTCTTTTTTTTTTTTTTTTTTTGTCTTTTTGGGGGCACACCCTGGTGATGCTCAGGAGTTACTCCTGGCTCTGCACTCAGTAACTAATCCCGGGCATCCCATATGGTGTCCGGTATCAAACAAACCCAGGTTGGCCAGGTGCAAAGGCAAATGCCCTACCTGCTGTATTATCACTCCAGCCCCCACCCAGTCTCTTTTAGAAAATGTTTGGGCCACACCTTGCAGTGTTAGATATACTTCATGAACTTTAATGAACTGAACTATGTAGCACTGTAGCACTGTTCTCCCGTTGTTCATTGATTTGCTCGAGCGGGCCCAGTAACATTGTGAGACTTGTTACTGTGTTTGGCATATCGAAGACGCCACGGGTAGCTTGTCAGGCTTTGCCATGGGGGCAAGATACTCTCGGTAGCTTGCCAGGCTCTCTAAATGGGCCAGAGGAATCAAAGTCGGGTTGGCCAGGTGGGCTGTGTGCAAGGCAAACACCCTACCCTCTGTGCTATCACGATAACTGAACTATATACATTTAATATTTCTAGTATCTTTTCAGAAAACAGAAGATTGTTATAACCAAATATAATTTTTATAACAGTGTAGTAAATAGGAATTTGGGGGGAGAGAAGGGGAGCCCCTCAAGGGTACTCAGGGAGCCTTGAGGGCCCTACCCTCTGGCAGTTCTTAGCCAGCTGGACTGGCAATTAAATGCAAGAGCCCTGATGTGATGCTTGGACCTTATGGTGCCAGGGATTACCTGGGCTACCCTGGCAGTGTTGGGGGACCTCCAGGGCCACACCCAGCAGTGATTGTGGGCCTCGAGAGCTTTACCTGTAGTGCTTGGGAGATCATGTGGTGCCAGGGATCTAATTGGGGCCGCCTACAAGCAAGACGTGCTTCCTAACTCTGTACTCTAGTTTGGGCCCCTAAACAGGCATTTTTACTGCATGCTTAAGTGGATTACTTCCAGATATACACAAAAGCAGATGCTTAATTGAATTTACCTAGGAAAACTAACATTGTAAGACTGTTTAGGGTAAAATTATATAAATTTTGCATCATTACTATTGGACTCCTGAGGTATATGACCCATTCAGATGTATTTTCTAGAGCTTAAAAATCTCATCATCTGTATTTTAACATATGAGTTTTCTAAGAACTTTTATTTTATGTTGGTTTGACTATATTTGCTAACATTATGACAATATCAATTTCTTATTACATCAGTTCAATTCTTTCATTTCCGTCATAAAAGAGATGCTTAATAGACTGGAGTCTGAACATAAGACCAAACTGGAGCAGCTTCATATAATGCAAGAACAGCAGAAGTAAGTAGGTTGCATGTGAATTATACATGGTTTAGGAGTGAGATTAAAGTTATTTCAACTGATTTTCTAAAGCATGGCTTAGAAAAATGAGTGGATTTAAATTGGATCATATGCAAGGCACTTAGACTTCCCAATACCTGATTCAGTTGCACTGAGTTAAAATAAAGTATTCTTGGAAATCTAGTGTCATTTCAGAGTACAAAAGTATAGTAACTTAATTTAGAATTTTCTCTCTATAAAGAAAGGTCTAGAGATGTGGCTCAGTGGTGTGGCACTTGCTTTACATGTGTGAGGCCCTGGCTTGGGTTCAGTCCCTGGCACTGAGAGTAAAGAAGAGTTCATAGATGAGAGAATCTCTTATTTAGTCCTAGCCATTCATTGCAAGCTCAACACAGTAAACTTTGGAGTACTGATGATCCGTATTCTATTTGTAAACCTACAAAACCTTGGTGTTTTGATTTCTCCCTTTCTCTTTTCTGTAACTCCAGAAAAATTTATAGAGCAAATATCCATCTCTTTATTTTCTGGGAGCATTTTCTGAATTGTTGTACAATTCTAATATTCAAATGAAGAAGGGAAAGATGGAGATTGTTTATTGGAGAATGCCTCAGATCTCTATTCTATATCTTTTCCTCAGAGCAAAATATGATTTATAATTCTTATTTAATCCTGAGCCTAAAGATGTGTGAAAATCATTTGAATTATTACAAGTCATGAACAGGATCCTAAATAGAATCTAGCTTTTGTTTGGTGTAAAATGAAAACTTATGAAAGTAAATATACAATATTTAGAATTGTGCTTCCAGGTAGTCTGTGATGTATATATTTTGTGATGCTTGATGAATCGACTACATACGCATGGGAACCATGAAAAGTTACTTGTAAAAATTTTTAGCAGAGGAGAAATTTTAATAACTGGTATATATGTACTTGAAACATAAAAAAAGTCCTCTATTTTTCTTCTTCCTATCTAAATCCTACCTAATATTCAAGGTATAGGTCTGACACATAGCAATGATTCAAGACGTTATTATTAGTACCACCTATTCTGAACTTACACTAAGTTGCCGGTTTCTTGTTTCTCAGTGAGTTTTAAGCTCTAGTGATAAGCACCATGCTTGTTTGATTTTATGACACCCCAAGTAAATTCTGCAGTACGTTTCAAATGTTGAGTTTTAAAAAAATAAACGTTTCAATTGTATAAATATTAAAAACTTCAGTTGTTTAAATATCACTTAATAGTAGAAAATTGTAAAAAAAATTATGACTTTTTGTAGGGATAGATCAACTTAAGTTAAATTACACGTAGGTGAACTATTTTTCTGTGTGACTTTGTTAAAAATAAGCACTTCTCTTTTCTGTTTTCCTTGGTTCTTTTTGTGTGTGTGTGTGGGGAGGGTTGGGAGAGTTTACTCCTGGCTGGGTGCTCAAAGGTCACTGCTGGTGGGCTTGGAGCACCATATGAGGTGCTGGGATCTAGACCCTGGGTTGGCTGTATGCAAGCGCCTTACCTGCTCTACGTCTCTCCCCAGCCCCCAGAAAACGCATTCCTCTTCATAGCTTTGTCATAAATTTAATTCTCTTTTGCAGGTCTTTAGACATAGGAAATCAAATCAACACATCTGAGGAGGCAAAAGTTACAAATGTTGGGCCTCAGGTAAGAAGCTGTATAGATTATTTTGTTTTTTTCCTGAAAATTTTGCAAAAGTTGATGTTATTTTCAGTGTCAATTTTACAGTGTTAGGGATCAAACCCAGGGCCTCTCATATATGAGCCAACCTTTCTACCTCAGAGCTGTATTTCTGCCCAAGAGGAGCTGATTTTTAAGCAGTTTAATTTCGTTTCTACTGACATGTATTTAAACAGTTGATGTTTTAATATTTCAGCAAATTGACAAAGTCTTCAACAACATTGGAACAGACTTTCTGACTGGTGGGGAATCAGAAAATAAAGAGGATGGGTTACACAATAAACAAAAAAGAGTAAGCCTACTGTTCATTTGGTATTATTAGTTTATATTACAGAAATCTTGTAGACCACCGACTGTTGTTAGGAAATACCTTTAAGCTTCTTAGCAAGAAATTTTCTTTGATTATCTTTATGAAATTTAAAAGTTATCAATGGATCAAATATCATCTCGTCAATGGTTAAAATTTATTACTTTCTTATCAATCTCTCAATGATAATATAGGTAGTGTGACTTTTTTTTTTTTTTTGGGCTTTCGGGCCACACTTGGCAACTCTCATGGATTACTCCTGGCTCTGCACTCACAAATTACTCTTGGCATGCCTCAGGGGACCATATGGGATGGTTGTATGACTTTTTATCCTTTATGCTATACTTTGCCAATAACATCCTTGAAATATTTTAGTGTTTCTCTTCTCTACTTCAGTTTCCTTTCTCTACTGCTTTCAGACTTATACTTTCAATTTATCTGGGATTCTTCATTATTATTCTCCATTTTCTCTCCGATTCATTACATTTCTGACAGTTCCAGTTCCAGTTTTTTTCCTTTTTTTCCGTGTGGTTTGAACCCAGCAGCCTTTTGTGTGTGTGGCGGGGGCAAGGGTGGTGAGGGGAGGCACATGTGGCAGTGCTCAGGGCTTATTCCTGGCTCTGTGCTCAGGATCACCCCTGGTGGTGCTCAGGGGACCATATGCAGTGCTGGGGATTGACCCTGGTCAGTCACGCACAAGGCCTTACCTGCTGTACTGTTGCTCTGGCCCTTAAACCCAATAGTCTTACCTCTCACTTCTTTTCATTCCATAGGGAAAAACTGGATATTTTTTTTGCCTGTCAAATTTTTGTTGTTGTTTTTGGTTTGGGATTTGGGACCACACCGAGCAATGGTCAGGGATCACTCCTGGCAGTATGTGGGGGATTGTGTGTGGTCAGGAGTACACAAGTCAAGTACCCTACTCCTGTACTCTCCAACCCCCACCATGGCAGTTTTGAATATTAGGAATTTTTAGAACTGCCCTCAGTTTGGGTTTCTTTTTCAGAATGCATCATTAGATGGATGCATTTTGTCAAGAAAAGCTGAAGTGATGATGAATCCTTTGTACTTTATCGTATTAGGGGTACTGATATCAGCATAACGTATGGTAGATCAACAGTATGAATTTTTTCCCCTTCTATTTGTTGTTGTTGCAGTAACTGGGAGTTGCACACTTGGGTGCAGTGCATGAGAAATTGCACACTGTAATGTGGCACTGAGGATCCCAAAAGACAGTGCAGGAATTACATTTGGCATGTGGTAGTGTGGGGGATCAGACTTGATGTCTCATGCCTGTGAGACATGAGCTTTTCTACCAAGCAAGTAGGCCAACGTTTTATTTTATTTTATTTTTTGCTTTTTGGGTCACACCTGGCGATGCACAGTGGTTACTCTTGGCTCTGCACTCAGGAATTACTCCTGGAGATGCTCAGGGGACCATATGAGATACTGGGAATTGAACCCGGGTCGGTCACGTGCAAGGCAAATGCCCTACCCGCTGTGCTGTTGCTCCAGCCTCTAAGCCATCGTTTTTTTAGAGAATTTTTTTTAAGTGGATTTGATTCCATATCACACATAGATTTTAAAAACAATACATTTTAAAATTCATTTCTTGTTCAATTCTGTTCTTGCTGACTTTAAGTAATAAACTAAAATACATTTTAGTTTTGACTAATAAACTAAAAGTGATGTTTTCCTATTGAAATACTGGTTTGCTTCTTATATATATACATATATACACACACATACATATATATGTGTATATATATATATATATATAAAACAACTTATGTATATAAAACAACTTCTGTTTTACAAATGAAATTTTGAAATTGCTGGTTGATTCTTTGTTGGTTTGTTTTATTTTAAGGCATCACTGACACTGGAAGAAAAACAAAAATTAGCAAAAGAACAGGAGCAAGCACAGAAGTTGAAAAGTCAGCAACCCCTTAAGCCGCAAGTACACACGCCCGTGGCTCCTGTCAAACAGGTCAGAGTTCACGCCTGCGCTGCTGCTATTGGGGAGTAAGGTAGTCCAGGTCTACCTAGTGGTATTGGTGCAGAAATGTATTTCACTGGACACTTCAGTAATTCGCTATGGGTAGAAAGGACTTTCCAGCAACTCCACAGTCGCTTCCCTAATGCATAATGTTTCCTGCACTGCTTGCTACCATCAACCAGCAAAGTGCACAGACTTTAACAGCATCATGTCCTGATGGTGCTAACTCAACTTTCCACTTCAAATCATCAGGACTTTTTTTTTTTTTATGTAGGAGTACTGCTATTTATTCAGCCACTAATTAGCTGATTGAATTGGGCATGAACTCCACCGTACTTTTGTTTTTTTCATGATTTTATTTATTTCTTCTACTTACATTTATTTATTGAATCACTGTGGGAAAAATTAGTAAGCTTTCAGGTTTAAGTCTCAGTCATTCAATGATCAAACACCTTTCCCTTCACCAGTACTCATTTTTCACCACCAAGAACCCCAATATACCCCCCCTTCCAGCCCCTCCCAATGCCTGTGAGGCAGATGATTTCTACTTAACTCTTCTCTACATTGATTACATTCATTATTTCGACAAAAGATGCATCATTATTGTTTAGAATTTCCCCCCCCTACAATCAGAATTTCTAAAAAGGCATTGTGAAATACTTTGTTTTCTATAGCTGGTTATGAGAATCATATAATGTCACGCAGCCGCAATTTTGGATTTCTGCAAAGAGCCAGATAATTACGAGATTTCTGTGCATCTGGTGTTATGGCTGTGCCGGAGAGCTGCTCGTGGGGGGCAACTCGTGACCTCAGTAGGGCATGAAGGATGAGCCGGTACCGTCCCCCTTTCCATGAGACTGCAGTTGCCCCATCACCGCCGGCTCATACCTGGCCTTCCAATAAGCTCTGAGGCAGCGGCGGCCACTTTGCTGCGGGGGGGGGGGGGGGGGGGAGGGCGGAAGGGAGCAACACCCTTTCCCATAGACTGCAGTTGCCCCGTCACCCGCCAACTCATACCTTGCTTTCCAATAAGCTCTGAGGCACAGCCACCTTGTATGTGGTCCAGATGCATTTCTGCCAAATGCTGCTGGGTTTCGAGATTTGTTTCTGAGTTTCTGGTATCATGGCTGTTAATCAGCTTGATCAGGAGCCAGAGAGGCTGTTTGTAGGCGGCGACTCGGGGTCTTGTTGGGATGGGGAGGAAAGGGCTGGTTTCACCCCCCATCTGGTGAGGCCATGCATGTCTCGTCACTGCAGGCCCAAACCTGACTGTCCAGTAGCCTTTGGAGGATGGCGGTCACTGGGCCGCCGGGGGGAGCAAGTCAAGGCACAAAACCTATTTCCACCTGGAGTGGCCCAGCACCAGTAACCTACTGCAGGAACAGGATGCATTTCTGCCAAAAGCCTTTGGGTTCTGAGATTCATTTCTGAGTCTCTGGGATCATGGCCGTTAAGCAGTTCAACCAGGAACCAGAGAGGCCATGCCTCCAATTATATAGCTGAGCCGGAGGTGGTTTGTGGATGTGTCTCCCACATACCTAACTTTTGGCCGTTTACTTTCTTGATAAACTTTGCCCCAAGTTTTTGGGGTCTGGCTAAAGGCACAGCAGCAATTTTGGGGCATTTGAAAGTCTGACAGTGCCATCAGGCTGCTGATGCACTCACCTCACAGGTACAGATTGACTTGCTGGCAGCACCATACCCCCCATCAGGGCTTTTTTATGTCATGCTAGAATATGTTTTCAAGTTCAAAGTGTTTCCTGTTATCAACTTTATTATAAATGGCTATCTGTGAAAACCGTAAAAAATAGGTGGTAGGCTCAGTTTAGCTTGGGTGTGGTTTGTTGACCTACTGTAAACTGATGAGCTTTAGCTTGTGCTTTATAACATAATCTTTCAGATATTTATTGATTGCGAAGCAACTTGAAATTCTTAGTAATGAATTCATTCTCTCATGTTTTGCAGACTAAGGACTTGACGGATACATTGATGGATAACAACATGACATCTTTATCAAACCTTTCTGTTAATACGCCTAAAATTCCTGCTTCAAGTACCTTCACTTCTGTTCCTTCCATGGGCCTTGGCATGATGTTTTCTACACCAATTGATAATACAAAGAGAAATTTGACAAATGGCTTAAATGCTAACATGGGCTTTCAGACTTCAGGATTCAACATGCCGGTTAACACAAACCAGAACTTCTTCAGTGGCCCAAGCACACCTGGAGTGACCAAAATGCCCTTGGGAACACCTTCCTCTTTGCCAAATTTCAACGCTGTGAGTGTTCCTCCTGCTGGCGCAAAGCAGCCTCAACAAAGACCCACAGATATGTCTGCCCTTAATAATCTTTTTGGCCCTCAGAAACCCAAAGTTAGCATGAACCAGTTATCACAGCAGAAACCAAATCAGTGGCTTAATCAGTTTGTACCTCCTCAAGGGTCTCCAGGTATGGGCAGCTCAGTAATGGGAACTCAGATGAACATGATAGGACAATCCGCCTTCGGTATGCAGGCTAATCCTTTCTTTAACCCACAGAACTTTGCACAGCCACCTACTACTATGACTAATAGCAGTTCAGCTAGCAATGATTTAAAAGATCTGTTTGGGTGAGATGTCTTGCTTCTGTCTTTGAAGGACTACTTCCGTTTTAATCATGGGTGAGCTGATTTCCGTCTTTCTAGAGCTGGCTTGCAGGAACTCCATCTGTGGAAGGGTCAGTGGTTCTTTGACGGAGAACAGGTGTTTCCATGCCAGCATAGTAGTTGTGTGAACTCCGAACAGTTGAGTTGTTTTTTTTTTTTTAAAGCATTGAGGATTTTTCCTCTAACCAACTTGTCTTCAGGTTTTTAAATGGCCCAGACCTTACCAATTTCAAAAAGATAAAGACACTTGAGAATCTTGAATAGCCTAATTTTTTATTCAAATGTTTATTTTAGCTTGTAAATCTTGGTGTTATTTAAAAATTTGAGTTGATGCAGTAGCAGGTTTTATCTCTTAAAGACTACATGGTACAGAGTCTGTCTTCACAAGTCACTAGTCTTCATTTTAATGTGAAAAAAATCTCCATGCTGTATTGATTTGTTTGCATTTAGTTTGAGTGAGAAAATGATCAGCGTAATGAAAGGGATTAGGTCCTTTACTTTTTCTAATCTCATTTACTCTCAGATAACTAATGTTTAGTACCAAAAAAATGGAACAAATACTATAAATTTTAAGTTAATTTTATTGGTTCAAACTGAAAGCATTATTAACCACCTTAAATGCAGACTAATCATTGTAAATTATATTTTAGCATGATCTGCCTCAAATTGTAATGTATTTTTCTGGATTTACTTGGATAAATTCAGAGTCACCTTTTTCCTGATTATCACAGGCAGAAGAGGTATGTACAGATTTGTACAGATATTTGTCAGGACCCTACAGTATGATTCCCCTTCCATACTGCCTTCATATTTCATTTTGAGTTTAAAATTCTGAGGTTGCGGCATATATTAAATGCATTTTCAAAATATTTGTAAGAAACTATATTTAATGAGTAAACTTTTGAGATTTCTGCTGTATTGTTTCAAATGTAATAAACTTTACTTCTCTAAAAATGAGCATTTGTATCTTCTGGTTCCCAACGAACTAATTTTTAGTTTGCCTTGATCAAATCTAATCTCATCAGTTCCCTGCAACTGAAGTTGAGTTCTTTTCACAGGGGCAGGGTGGGAGAAGGGGACATCCCAAGTGGTGCTCAGGAGGCCCTGGTGCCCCCTCCCAGTGATTCTTGGGGAACAATATACTGCCAGAGTTTGAACTAGGGTCCGCCATGTGCAAGACATCCTCCGTAATCTCCGTATATTCTGTCTCTGAAGTTGAATTCTTTCCTAGGAATTTTAGGTACTTTTCCTTCAAACATTTTAATGTTTATATCTCGCTGTTTTTCGAAAGGACAGCTACTAACCGGAACATGCTTTGTTTCAAAACCTTCTCTGATATGTTTCTTTAATTTTCTTCTTATTCAACCACAGAGCCTTATGCAATGCCATTTGTATTTTATTGCATCATATTCCACTGTATGTGATAATTTTAAAATGGTCTCTCAGAAAACATTACATATATCTTATGTACTTCCTTAGAGCTTTTGTTTCTAATGCTCAGAAACCAGCAATCATTTAGAACAAAACACGAAGTTTAGTATACTGGTACTATTTACTTTTGGAAAAAATGTATTTACACAGTATATACATTGAATATACAATACTTGATAATAAAATGTAATTTGGCAATAGAATTACTGGCATCATTCAGTAAGAAAGTACTTTAAAAAATAAAATTTCAGCTTCACCATCTGGTTCTTTGTGAATTTGTTACATGGTTTTGGGAAAATGAATCCATAATGATGAAGAATCGTATCCAATGAATGAAAAACACTAAGAAGATAAAAAATTTTTTTGTCAAATGCACTCACACCTTGCCAGATTGTTTTGTTTGTAATGCAATATTAATATTTCTCTTAAGAAAAGTTTACATATGGAATAAAATTTGTTAATGTTGAAGAGTTTCTCTTTGTAACAGTTCAGTTACTGCTTATTAGGTGATTGCTTTTTGTTTTGTAAAATTACTTGTTGTCAGTGTTGAACACCTAGAGGAAAGCATAATGTGATAACATATAGTTTGATTCCTAAATATAAAAATGAATTGCTTTAAAAGATATGTAATTTTTAGATAATATTCACACTGAAATTGCTCACTTGTTACAGTAATGGTGCTACATTTTTACAAATTTTTTCCTACATAAAGTTATTTAAATCATTTTCATCCATTGAAATGTTAATTCTTGTTTTCTTTTTCTGTTGGAAATTTGCTGCTGAAAAATGGCCATTTTTTAGCCTTTTGCTTTTATGAGAAAAATTTTCAAAGAAATAGATCACCTTAAAATTATGTTAGGTAGTGACAGCATGTAACCCTTATGCTTAGAGTAGAAAAACTGGTAAGTCAAAAATTGATGAATTGTAAGAAAGATTACCTTTTATTTGAATTTGTTCTTATTTCTTCTTATGCTAAAGTGTGTGATGTATGCAGTAGCTGTAAATGGTAAATGAAAATAGATTTATGTACTTGGCTGGGTTTTCTTTGTTTTGCTTTTATTTTGGAATGCTTAAAACCCTTTTCACTTGAGTAAGTTAAGAAAGTAGGTTTTTGTTGTATTTGTTTTTAACCTATAAAATAATCTCGCTTTTTTTCTTTAACATTTTAAAGGAAAAGGTCTGTGTAAAACTGCCTGATAGCAAGCATAGAGGATGCACCAAATAAATTTTAGCTTTGATAAAATGTCCCATATTAAGTTGTGATTCATGCTTTGTGATGAACTGATCTCGATATAATTTTAGAAAGAAATAGTTTTGTAAGAATTCAAACTGTAGAATTTTAAGAGATTTGCTTTAGTGGCTTTCATATTCTGTGGCACTCAGTAAGACAGCTATCTCAGACTGCAAATAAATATGCAAAATGTGGATGTGAAACAGGAGGTTCAGAAAATATTTTACACATAGGCTCTTTTTTAGACTCCCTAAAATAATTCCATGGTGTAATTTGAGTACAGATAATTTAGCCCTGTTTTTCTCCAAGCAGATGTAAAAATAGAGGGCCTAATCCGAGCCAGGGTGTTTTTTTATTTTTCTTTACATGCACCCTATACTGTTGGCCCATGCAACTTTTTTTTTCCCCCCAAAGTGGGTGGTTTCACCCTCCCTGGGAGCCCTGGAACTATCCCAGGAGGTACTAGTAGCGTTGGGTGTAACTGGGCCAGGGTGGAGTGTATAAGGGGGGGGGGGGGCGGGTTCTGTCTGTTCCCTCAAAGAAGAATGATTTCCAGGGTGGCTGCTAAGTAAATTTTTGATATTTTCCTGGAAAGGAGTAGGACAGTAAGTTTAGGAAACGAACCACTTATCATATACGCTTATCGTATGAATTCTTCTGGCGTTGTCTTTGTTGAGTGTCAGTGTTCAGTACTTTCTGGGTACTTAAGTATATTTATATTGGGGAAAATTGGCATTGGGAAAGAGGAAGATGTCAAAGGAATGTCTAGTCCGAATAGCTTCTGGGACCAGGAATTGCTCCAAGGACTGGAGTACCCACCTTGCCATTCGGAGCCCCTGAGTTTGATCCCCAGCTCAGTCACCACCTGCCGGGTAGCACTGTAGCACTGCACTGTCATCCCATTGTTCATCGATTTGCTTGAGTGGGCACCAGTAATGTCTCCATTGTGAGACTTGTTGTTACTGTTTTTGGCATATTGAATACGCCGTGGTAGCATGCCAGGCTCTGCCGTGCGCGCGGGACACCCTCGGTATTTGCTGGGCTCTCCGAGAGGGACGGAGGAATCGAACCTGGGTTGGCCACATGCAAGGCAAACGCCATACCTGCTGTGCTATCGCTCCAGCTCGTGCTCCCCACGTGCACGAAATGTAATAGAATAATAAAGGAAATTCAGTCTCTGAGCTTATTCTGGGTGGAGAACAGCTGGGGAAATCTCATCAGGAGTGTTTATTGTACCCAGATTTATAGTAAATAAATCATACAAATTTCGGAGGCAGGGGGTAAGGTAAGGTAAAGGCCCTCCCGTTGATCGACGATTTGCTTGAGCGGGCCCAGTAACGTCTTCATTGGAGACTTTGTTGTTACTGTGTCTGGCATATCGAATACTCTCGGTAGCTTGCCGGGCTCTCCGAGAGGGGCGGAGGAATTGAACTCGGGTCGGCCATGTTGGCCGCTTGTAAGGCGAACGCCCTACCGCTGTGCTATCGCTCCAGTCCCCTGTGCTATGAGGCAGGGGGTCATGGAAGAAAAAGCCATCTTGCCAAATGAAGTTGGATTCTAGAAACGTTTGTCCAGAGTAGTCAGATTGCTTCACCTCTCCTGGGGTACAAATCATATATGTAAACTAAAATCTTCCTGGCAGAATAGGTAAAGTTGATACTTGATTTACTATATTTTATTTCAGTATCAAATGCATAAAATTTTATGAATGAGATCATTTACACTGCTATTGGTACTTGATTTTTGAGGACCCGTGTGTATTTTACACTTGTACATTTCAGTTGATTAGCTTTTGTTGTTTGTTTGGAGGCTGTACCTGGCTCTGCACTCAAGGATCACTCCTGATGTCTTCACACGGACTGGCTGGATGGCCCTGTGGAAACCCCAGAAAAGTCGGGAGATTAGTTTGCAGGGTGGAAATGGGGGAAGAGAGCCTCTCCTGAGCCTGTGTGTGTGTGTGTGTGTGTGTGTGTGTGTGTGTGTGTGTGTGTGATGGGGGGGCAGGGGAAGGAATGCCTGATACTTTTGTACTCTTGGAGCGTGCTTTTAGTGAAACAACTACTAGTTAATCAGTCTGTGAAAATCATCTCGTTTAAGTAGGTAGTATGGGTTAGGTTTTTTGGTTTTTTTTTTTTAATCTTTCTTTTTTAACCTTTTCTTCACTAATACAGTACCTACAATGAAGTCTTGTCTTCTTCAAATTTCCGGTGTTGAAAATAGGATTTAGCTACTTTAACTCATACATCTTTTTAATATTTTTTATGGCTGAGTTAGAGATTCTATATTTAGTTTGCACATACGAATGAACCCACATTCATGAACATTGAACCAACCAGTCTCTTCCAAATCTGATTTGTGGTTTTGGGACCATACACATTGTTGCTCATGGGTTACTCCTAGTGGTCCTCAGGGGACTGGTTGGATTCCAGGATTCAACCCTGTTGTGTGGCATGCAAGGCAAGTACCCTACCCAGTCTCTGGCTGCTGGCCTGTGTTTCTAAATGCAGTGACAAAATGAAAGTTAAATAGGCATCTCCACAGGCATACTTGAAGCAGAGGGCATAATTTAGAACCAGGTAAACTAGGTGGTGTGTTGTGTGTTTTCTAAAATGTCATGTTACTAGAAAGACTGCACTCATTTGTGGAATATAAAATAACAATATAAGACTAATACCCATGGAAAGTAGAGACCAGAGCCAGGAGAATCACTCTACGGTTTGGAAGGCTGCCTTGTGCTGGGGGAAAAGGCAGTTGGGATGAAGAAGGGACCACTAAGTCAATGATGGTTGGAGGGATCGCACAGGATGGGAGATGTGTGCTGAAAGTAGACTAGACTGAACATGCTGAACATGATGGCTTCTCAGTATCTGTGTTGCAAACCATGATGCCCAAAAGTAGAAAATAAGAAGAAAAGTGCCTGCCACAGGGGCAGGGGGTGGGATGGGGTGGGGGAGGCAGGAGGGATATTGAGAACATTGGTGGTAGAAAACACACACTGGTGGAGGGACAGGTGTTCATTCATTGGATAACAAACTAAATCATGAAAGCTTTGTTACTGTATCCCAGTGATTCAATAAAAAATTTTTAAAAATAAAATGTTACAACTACAGCATTCATTTTCTGTGGAGAAGGCTTTCTTTTTTCATATTTGTTAATGTGAAAGAAAAAAATTCAAAATTGTGCTTAAGAAAATCTGTCTCTAATAATACACTGTTTTAGGGTATGTTGTTCTTTGGGCCACACCCAGTGATGCTCAGGGGCTATTCCTAGTTCTGCACCAGGGTCACTCCTGGCAGTGCTCAGGGAACTGAGTTGCCGGGGATTGAAATGGGTATGACTGCATGCAGGGCAAGTGCCTTCCCCTCTATCCTGCAGGCCTGGTCATGGACACTCTTTAAGATTACTTTGTTGAAGAGATAGAAAAGACTCAACCAAAGTGGATGCTCTTTTATTTACGTACTTTTGTTGTGTTTTGGGCCACACTTGGCAGTGCTCAGAACTTACTCCTGGTCCTTTGATTAGTGGGGCTCAGGGGATCTTATGGGTTGATGGAGATTGAACCTGGACCAGCTATATGTAAGGCAGGCATCCTGCCTTCTGTTCTATCTCTCCAGCCCTCCTTATATTTATGAATTATTCTGTCTTTAAAGTTTTTTCTTAGTAGCTGCTCTTCTAGTCTGTTCCAGTTTTAGGAGGGCCTGTTTCTCTATGCACACTTCAATGGTAAATTAAATGCATTGAATTAGCAATTGAATATATCAGTGCCCCAGTTGTCAGAGAACAGATTTTGATTCTCTTGCCAACATTCAGAATCTAATTTCTGAGAAATGTCAATGGAGGATGCAAAAAATGGCATAATTTAGCCACTTCTCTGGAAATTCTAAATAAAATTAGGCCAAATAGGGAGACCTTTGATCCCCGCTGCCTTGTTTTGGCCGGCACATCAACTTCCTTTATCACATTTAACTCTGATCTGTATTGTGAAACTTAAATTCAGGCCAGCGATGAAGCAGATTCACTTTGATATACGATAGTTTCTTTGATGATCTCTTAGAGAAATTTCAGATTTCAGTTTAGGAGTAAACTGTGCTTCTGAGCAATGTGCCTCTGAATCATGCAACAAAGAAAGATGTTCTTTCATTTTGTGGTGTCAGGAATCAAATTCAAGGCATCACACATGCGAGGCATGAGCTCTACCCCTCTGAGTCATCTTCCTGTCCCAAATCATTTATTGACAGTCAAAAGGGTTGGTCAAATTTGCAGTCCACATATAGCAAATATGATTGTAAATAGCATACATTGTTTGTGTCTGCCTTCTATCTTTATCTGATATAAAAACAAATTTCCTTTGCACTGATAGTTTTGTTGTTGTTGTTGTTGTTGTTTTCAAATACTTTATCTTACTGCTTTTTCATTTTGAGGTCGCACCCAACATTGTTTAAGGCTTACCTCTGGGTCCTACACTCAGGAATCATTCTTGGTTGGTTTTATGGGACCATGTGGGGTGCTAGAGATTGAACCTGGGTTAGCCTTGTGTAAGCAAGGGCCTTCCCAGCTATATTCTCTCTGTCTCTCTCTCTCTTTGGCCATTTGATGGTTTTTACTTTAAAAAAAATTGTGCCACGTTCTTAGGAATTCTCTTTTTAAAATATGGTATAAGTTAACATAGGGAGTGAAATAGTTTAAATCTTGTCTTCCTATGAACTGAGCAGAATACATTCACCCAGTTTAAAATAAGGATCATACCTTCCTGACTTGTTAAGATCAATGAAATACAATTGTGGGAAAAACCTGTCAAGACCTCTGGCATGCTTTGTTTTGTTTGCTTTTTGTTTTTGGGTCACAGCCAGCTGTGCTTAGGGCCTACCCCTGGGTTTGTGCTTGGTGGCAACCTCTGACACTGCATAAACAGTATGCACTCAGCCACTGGAGTTGTTTCTTCTGTAGTCACATTTTAGGTACACAGTAGCTGTCCCATCTTCCTTAGAATGGCTATTTTAGGAGATACTTTAGAAGATACA